CACCCATACAAGAAGCACTTAGAAGTTGTAAAGTGCGAGCTCCATCTTTTTCTAACTTGTTTAATATTTTCTCTTTAGAAATTTATTTAGAGATTTTTTGCGACAACCCTAATTGAGAGAGAGAAGTATCGTGTTTTTGGGAAGGAGAAAACTATTTTCTCTCCTTTTCTAATAATATCATGCATGCCTAGCACAATTGTCCTCTTTGCCATACCTCTCTTTTTATTTTTGTAAAGGGAATGACTTCCTTGTCCTCTAAGAATAAGGAAGTGGAAGTAATAAGTCCAAAAATGACTCTAGGTTATTGCTTCGTAGTCATCCAAGGATTAGGAGTTGCAATGCATATAAGCCTTTTTTATTTCATCCTTATAAACCTTGATCCTTATCCAATAAGTTTCAAGTTTATTCTTTCATCAAAATATCTTGCAAGCTTTTAAATTAAATCTATTAGCTCAAACTCTTTTGGTCCAATTAGTTACAAATTAATTTGGATTATCCGGATAAATTGAGTTAGATATTTTTAGGATGCCCACATTAGGAAATAATTTTCCAAATTACCATTAAGTCTAAATTAGAAATCTAATTTTCTTTTTAAGTAACTTACTTTCAAATTCGGAACTAACTTTCAAATTAAAAAGCTGATTGCTAAAATAAAAAATTTTCTATTTTCGAAACCTTTTTCAAAATATGAAACTTTCAAAATTAAAAATCTTTTCCAAATTTTTTACTTCTTTTGTATTATGTAAATGCTTAAACTTATGTGTGACTTAATAGGCTTTTAGATATGTTGACAATGTATCAAGAATAAACGATATCTCTTTTATCTCTTGATACATAAATCAAAATTGACCTCCAACAAGGTATCATGACTACTCAATTATCTAGGAGGATTAATTAATCTATATTACATTTCATAAGTATGACTATCATACAATTCAGTCCTCGTGTCAAATTTATCACGAGTGTGATCTCGAACTTGATTATTAGTCTATTCAATTATGATCATACAAGTTTTCTTCAATTCTCAAATATCTCAGCTCTTAGAATAAACCAACTATGCTTTATTGGTGGTACTCCTATTGTAGCCATATATTCCTTAAGTAAATATTTATTAAAGTGCAATGTGATAACTCCTTTAGCATATAAGGAATGACATGTCATATCTTAGTCATCCACTTATCTCTATTAGATTTGTAGTGCACCAAACGAATCGTCCATGTGTAACCCTTACTGGATCCATCGAAACGAGTGTCAAAGTACATAAATTCTCTAATAAGATAACTATGATGATTTAAGTCAAAAGACTAGTTGTACCTATCTTGTATAAGATTCCTATAGAGCAAACCAAAATAGGTTTCATGGCGAGCGAAGTTCAATGATGTGTTTTCTAACATTAATCACCTAAATGCTTGATTTGGCATCACCATGCCAATAGGTGTGAGATCTCCTACTACTATCTTATAGCATGAGCATAACACTCATAAGTATTACTGCATATAGTCAATGTCTATTTTTGACAATGCTATGACTTGAGACATTTATTGATATCATTTAAGTGCATAAATATTTGTCTCACATTTTTTAATCAATCATTAATATAGTACTTATCATATGGACTTTTATCTAATTCTATTCAATAGATATAAATAATAATATTTAATAAAAAAGACTTTTTTTATTAATAAAATAAATAATATAATATTACAATAAGTTAAACCTATCCAAACAAGATTGGATCTAGTAACACTACGTGGATGAGCCAATATCCTTTTCTTTAGCAATTAAACACCCTCAATAGAGGAATGCTATGGCCAAAGAAATTGCTACTTTGGAAGCTAATCATACTTGGACACTTATACCTTGACCTAATGGAAAATGCATTATTGATTCAAAATGAGTATACAATGTTAAATTTCACCTCGATAGCTTAGTAAAAAAAATATAAAGCTAGTCTTATAAAAAGATTATACTCGGATTGAAGGTGATGATTTTCATGAGATATTTGCCTCGATCACTAAATCGGTTACGACTTATTGCCTCCTTGCTATTGCCTCCGTAAGTAATTGGAAAACTATACCTATTAAATGTCAATAATGCCTTTTTGTATAGTAATCTTATCGAAATAGTCTACATGAATATTCCTCGAGGCTTTACTAAAAAAAAAAAAAAGAGCATCGTGTTTGTCGTCTTCAATGACTCTACTATGGAGTTCAATAAGCCTCCTATAATTGATATTAGAAATTTACTCAATCATTATTTACGGTTGATTTTCTCTAATCTTTTTTCGACCACTCTCTTTTCACTTCTTCTCAAAATGGTGTCTTCATTATGGTTCTTATTTATTTTTATGACGTGACCATTACGGACACGGTACACTTGCTAAAATTTATTGGCTCAAATAATATTTGGACTTCATCTTTCATATTAAAGATCTCGATCCACTTAAATATTTTTTGAGCTTCGAAATTTCATGATCTCCAGTTGGCATTGTTTTAAATCAACATAAATATGTCATTGACATATTGACCGAATGTGGTCTTACCGGTTGCAAGCCATCCTCTTCGCCCATGAATCCTCACCATAAATTTGATTCGGATTCTAGTCTATTTTATGACAATCCCAACCAATATTGTCATTTATCCGGACGCTCACTTCCATCCACACATTAGTTATGCTTGTTCATATTTTGGGCTAGTTCATGCATCGACCATGCCAATCATATTTTGATACCGTATTTTGAGTTCTTTGTTATCTCAAAAATGCCTTTGGACAAGGGATTTTCTTTCCTTCCCATAGTTCACTCACATTGCAGGGCTATAGCGATGTTAATTGGGTTGGATGTTTTGTTACTTGACATTCTACCACTACATACATTGTTTTTCTTAACTCTTACTCAATCTTTTAACACTCGAGAAACAATCTGTTGTCTTTCGTTCCACGACCGAAGTTGAATACATGACCATGGCCATCGTAGCTAGTGAGATTGTTTGGCTTTTTCATGTATTCTTTGATTTGGGAGTTACTCATTCACGTTTTGATTCTTTATTTTATGAAAATTAAAATGCTTTTCATACGATCGCTAATACTATTTTCCATTAGCACTCTAAGCATATTAAGATCGATTGTCATTTTATTTAACAACATATTCAATCCAATTTTTTTTTACCTCACCTTATCTCTCTCGGTATCGGTTGGCATACATCTTCATAAAAGCTCTTGATCGAGATAAGTTCTAGACTCGTTAGACAAGTTAGATATTTAAAAATTACATGATGTAACTTGAGAGGGAGTAAAGACGTTTAATTTAGAAAATACTATATTAACATATTTTTTCTTCTAATGTTAGAATATTTACTTTAATGCTAAAATATTTTCTTTTATTGCCACCTTATATATATGAATACTATATATATATATATATATATATATATATATATAGCTAGCATGTTCATGGAATCATTAACCCTGATATTTAGGGATGTAATCTGTATATGAGTTAATTTCTTTTTTCTTTGTAGAGAGTAATATAATTCACGTTTCAATATTTAGTATATGATAGATTATATTATTCCTAACTTGAGGACTTAAGTTTATACCTCAATCGATGTAATTGTCCCCTTCTCGTCAAAAGATTTTGAGTTTCAACCTTTTATTTTATTTTTTTTTAAAAAAGGTTTATTTTGAAACCTTTCCAATGATTTAAAAGTTGTAGCCAGCAAGATAAACAGGAGAATGAAAAGCACTGCAAGGTTTAATTAGTAACAAGCAAAACTTTTCGTTTGATTTACTTAAAAATTATGGTTAGCAAGATAAATAAGAGAACGAAAAGGCACTAACTAAGAAAGTTTATCATCAAGAAAAAGATGCACAGCCACTGTTGATAAGACCTCTCTTTTGTTGGTTAGTAAAAAGAGCAGCATGCAACAGCAACACTGATTGGATAAATTAAATGCAAGCCTCCTTCTGATTCTCCTTTTTGTTTCTGACCGTCAATGAATGACAAGTTAAAAACAGTGGATCCTTATCCCAGCTGTAGTGGGAGTCAAAAAAGATTCTCCTTTTTGTGCGTTAATCTTGAAATTAATTTTTTTAAAATGATATTAAGAATGCATTTTTACATTAATTTAATACGACCAACAAAATTAATAAATACTGATTTCGGAATTTCAACAATAGACATATTACCCTACAAATTTCCAAACCCCTAAAAAAGTTCACGAAACTTTTGGACACACACATATATATATTTGGTTTTTATATTTTTTTAAATTTATTGAATTAAGGTTTTAATTTTTTTATTTGATTGACACTTTTTATTTTTTAAAATTTATTATTTTAAATTTTTTGTTATAATGTTATCAATAAATGATCTATATGTGATATTATAAAATAAAAAATTTTAAAAAATAAAATATCATTCTATGATTTTTTTTAATTTGTTTTGATTTTTTGTTTTAAGAAATTAAAAAAATAATAATTAAAAAAATTATGATAAAATAAGTTTTTTTTTTGAAATAAAGTAATATCACGTTAACTATAGTCAACACTAATTAAGAAATTAATTAATTAATTTTTGAAGCAATAAGGATTATTTAATTTATTTTGTAAAACTTGAGGAATTAATTTATAATTTACTCATAGTTTAGGGCAAAAATTGTATATATATATATATATATATATATATATATATATATATATATTAGATAGTAAAATATAAATAATTAGAAAAACCTGAGTAACATCGAAATGCAACGCACTTGAGGAATTATCTCCATCCATATTCATATTTGGAACCGTATCCTTCTTGTAAAAACATCCATCACACCGACTGGCTCACGTCGTGATAAAATTACGTCCAGTACTAACATCTCGACACGCCTCTTTGACGATCGCAAAGACTTGCTTTCTCAATATATATTACAGCAACACATTTCTATTGTTATATTGCTCGAGTATCTATATATATACGGTTGTGGCAATTTGTTCTCTCAAAGCTAGGGATGACAATTGTCACCATGGAGACCAAAGAAGAGACTCAAGTTAACCCCACCATGAAGAAAGCCCTTCTCATCTTAAACTGCATCATACTATCCATAGGAAACTGTGGTGGTCCTCTAATGATGCGCCTCTACTTCATCCATGGAGGCAAACGTGTTTGGCTCTCTGCCTGGCTTCAAACTGGCGGTTGGCCGATCATTCTAATCCCCCTTGCCATAACCTACTTTCACCGCCGTCCAACCGATCCCACCACTAAACTCTTCTATACGAAGCCTCCTTTGTTCATTGCCGCCGCCATAATTGGTGTCCTTACTGGTCTGGACGACTATCTTTATGCTTATGGTTTAGCCCGTCTCCCTGTTTCTACTTCTTCTTTGATTATTGCCACACAATTAACTTTCACAGCTGGTTTTGCTTTCCTTTTAGTTAAACAAAAGTTCACTTCTTATTCGATAAACGCTGTTGTTTTGTTGACGGTTGGGGCTGGAGTCTTGGCTTTGCATACTGGTAGTGACAAGCCTGCTCATGAATCGAATAGAGAGTATATTCTGGGGTTTATCGTGACACTTGGAGCTGCGGCTCTGTATGGCCTTATCTTGCCGTTGGTGGAATTGACATACAAGAAGTCTAGGCAGGAAATCAACTACACGCTTGTGATGGAGATTCAGATGATTATGTGTTTGTTTGCTACTGTCTTTTGTACCGCAGGGATGCTCGTTAACAAAGACTTCCAGGTCGGTTTCTCTAAATTTTCTTACATACTATAATCTTTCTATTCTATTTAATTAATGTTTCTCTTGCGGACAAGGTTTTTATTTTTCAAATTATTGTATTTCATTAGAAAGATAAAAAAGGAAGCAAGCTTAGTGTTACAGCTGTATACCTAATTAGTTTTCTTAATGAAGCAAAAATCGAGTCTTAAACTTTCAGATTTTTTTAATTATTATATAATAAAAAAGATCTAACCTCCATTGTCCATTGTATAGCAAAAAAAGAAAAAAGAAAAAAAAAGGGAGAATTGGTGATCTATAAATCAGAAGCTGATGGAATTTTGCATCTTATAGAAGCATGATAAAATAAGATGGTTGCGCGCATATATAATATATATATATATATATATATATATATATTATTTTTATTTTTATATTTACATTAGTAGAGTATTTTCAAATCAATTGAAATTGAGTCTTATCACCTTTTGAGCTAAACCAGCATCTGAACACACTTAGTCTTTAGCCTATTATTAGATTTTTTAAACTAAATTAGCTCAAATTTAGTACCACTAAAAAATAATTATGAATTGGTTATCAATGAACAGTGAAAATTAAAATTTAATTTTGGACAAACCAAGGCTATTGTATGACAAGAGTCCGAGTAGTTTAGTCGATCCATGTGTCTTTAGTGAAATAATTAACTAAAAATCCTATGGTTTTAGTAATCCATGATGTGTAATTTTTCGCTTGATCATGTATGTCTCTTACAGGCCATTCCAAAAGAAGCAAGAAACTTTGAGCTGGGAGATGCCAGATATTATGCAGTGCTGGTGTGGAGTGCAATCGTCTGGCAGTGTTTCTTCTTGGGCGCCGTAGGAGTCATCTTTTGTGCCTCCTCTTTGCTATCCGGTATTATAATGGCTGTTCTCCTTCCAGCTACAGAAATCCTAGCAGTTATCTTCTTCCAAGAGAAATTTCAAGCAGAAAAAGGTGTCGCTCTTGGACTCTCGCTTTGGGGCTTTGTTTCTTACTTCTATGGTGAGATGAAAGAAAACAAGAAAAAGAAACTTGCAACTTCAGAAATGGAAATGCGTATTAATCCGGTTGTAAATGTTTGAATGGAAGTTGCAACAGTACTGCAATTGCCAACGTTTTATATCACGATCCGGCAATTAATGATCACCTCAATGAAAGCAATTTGGTTCTCTACATGAAATTTCAGACTCCATATATGCTAATATGAACCAAGGAACCGCAAAAGTATCTGTTTATTTGGTTAGAGAAACAGAATTATGCACCAACACATCTAGATCTTTGTCACTCCAGTAACTCCTATCTTGATGTTTCTGCCTCGAGAGACTGGTGAACTTTCAGTTTAGTTTTCAGACTTCGTTGCAAGAACTGAGGGGATTAACCGCGTTAAAAGAAAAAAGAAAACGGAAGAGGTCAAATCATGTAATTCGTAAATTATTCTTGAAACATTTGAGGAATAAACTAGATATCTGCTTGCTTATATTTGGTGCGCGAGCTGCAAAAGCGATGCCTTTTTAGGGCAATTACCCCGTCCTGGGATACATTGGAAGCTTCTTATTGGGGTCCAATCGTCTCCATTACAATAGAGTATTAGATCAGATGAGCTTATTCATGCTCTTGTATACACCATGACCGTAGTATAATTTCAGACAAAATACTTGAAAATGGTACGTGTATCATTCTGGCATTTACATCACCACAGTTATGAAAAAGGCCCGGCTAAACTGCTCCAAGCATAATTTTAAATAACTATCTTAGTTATCAAATTGCGATATCAAGTGCGAAATTTAACGAATAAAAATATAACAATCAACAATTTAACAACCGTGGTAAGTTTAAAATACATATCAACTTTATATTTTTATTACATTAAAATAATAATAGCATTTTTTTAGGCATATGTATAAACCATTACAATTCAATAATAATTGCACTATTAAAAATTAAATTTTAACTTATCCTAATTTTTAAATTTTTATTCAAAAATTATTTTAATAAAATTATAATTTAGTTATTGGTTGTTAGAGTTAAGGAAAAATTGACTTACTATATTTTTTTAGTGCAATAAAAAAAATAAAAACATTATTAAATTTTTTAAATTATACAAAGTAAAAAATAAAAGATAAAAACATAATTCTAAAACTAGGCCCAATTATCACTTAAATAAATAAAAAAAGCCTAATAAGATCTTTATCAGTTATTTCTAGACTATGGACCCCCAATTATATAACATAACCCAAAATTAGTTTCTAAGTTTAAGTAAAAGGCACATGCGTCTCACCACAACCTAGAGTTTTTTTATGCCGCCTCCCTCATTGTCTCTTCTTCTTTTCTAATAACGATTCTGCACTAGTCTCTTCTTTCTGATTCTTGTATTTTCTACTTGCAGCACCTGAAATTCTACAAAAGCTGTGGTTGATAGAGATAGAAAAGCTGAAAAAAAGACCAAATTACATGGTAGCTACAAGACTGCAACGGCTGATTTTTCTTTTAATTATATATATATAATGGGGTTGTATAACAGCAAATCCCTCCATTTCACCCACCAGCATGGGGGAGAGTATTTCTCCAAGAGAATCCATCTCTTCCATGACCAAGCATGTGTGTCCATCAAGTAGTGTATTTGTTGATTCTTCCACACCTAAAATGACATCATTTGCACCGGATGGAAAAAAGTAAGGTTATTTATTCCACTGGTTGCAAGTAATCTGATTTTTATCTCTACTTCACACAAACCCACAGACAGCAACCTATCACAGTATCACTATGGAGAGCAGAGTCAATGCCATTGAAGCACATAATGAATTAACATGTGGTCAACTAAGAGCAACTTTGCATCAATTTCTAGATGATATCTTCAGAGGAACATCCACCACAAATAGGTACAGATTTCATTATCAAAACAGGTACAATCATTATAGCCAATAAATATCAAGCACAACATCAATGGACCACTTGACGTAGTCAACTATAAATGAAGGGAGGAAATGGCGTGACAGTACTGCTAAGTTTGGACTACAGAGGCAGAAATAGCCTTTTCAGTGGAGATGTACAGTCCTGGAATAGGACGAAGTTGATCGAATGAACGAAATTGGGATAGCATTTCTAAAATTTGGAACGCAATCATTTCTATACATTTCTGCAAGGCCAGAATGTGATCAAACAAACGACATGCAGGAATTAACTCTCTTCTATATAAGCGTCAGAAATAGGTACCTTCTGTCCATAAAAAAAACTCCAGAACAGATGACAGCATAAGAATGAAGATCGGTGCATGTATCTCCAGTAGTCACCATGAGTCAGCATTCAGACCATGGTTTTGTTAAAGAACAGCAGGATTAACATGAGCACAGAAAACTTTAGCATAAACCTGGGATCCGTCACTCGTTCAAGAAGTTGCTGCCACCTGTAAGTTCAACCAGTAGATAGCTGCTGATAAAGCCTGTTATCCATTTCAGGATGTTCATTACAGCGAGAAAAAAAATTACTAAAGGAGCGATGGATGGAGTCAAATACAGGACCAATGGATGTATAATTGCCCAAATTAAAATTTCACAAAACTAGAGCAAGAATAGTGCTCCAGCCCAATGCTAACCAGCAGGCTCAAAGCCTACAATTGACAATCGCAACTGTAATAGTACAATGCTGAATTTTTGTCTCCAACAAGATGGTTACAAGTGTTTGTGGTCTCATAAACTACTCGCTGATGGTAAGGTAAACTATTCAGGCATAGATCCAAATAGCTGGTAGTCATATACAGACCATGATCTCAGTGTGTGAAAGCATGGACATGCAACTAGAGTGAAATCCACCCCTTATCCCTATGGTATTCATGGGCAGCAAAGTTGCAAGAACAAGAAGCAGCAGATAGCAAACATATATTGAAAAACAAACACTTACCAATTTCCTTCAATGAAAGTGCCATTTTCATTATTTATATCTTCCTTGGCAAATTCTTCCAAAATAGCATGTTGGCGCTCATTAATTGCACTAAAATCACAATAAAATGCAAAAAAAGATTAGACAACGTATTTTTGCTGCATATTCTGTAAAAGATAACATCCAAAAAACCAAAGTTACTGAATACGTAGAAGGAAAAAAAAACTTTGCAAGGTATTGGATGCATAAAACATGATTGAAAAATAGCACAATATACCCTGTTGGATCTCCTGGACCTTATAATTATAAAATCCACAGGTTGCCCTGAGAGTTGAAAAAACAATCATATTTACAGTGTCACAAATTAACAATAACACCCCTCTATCTCTGCCAGAAGGTGCTACGCATTAAAACCACATTCTAGATGCCAGGCTGAGCAAGTTCCCTGTAGTTTGTGTTCAGGTGCAAATATAATTTCTTATAGCAAGAGGACATGACAGTATATTATATTTTACTTTAAAGACTAGTTGGCTGCATTGAAAAAGCTTACGTGGGGAAGTTAATGCGAAACCGCACATATTGATCTCCATGATCTACAAAAAAACCATGCTTTGTAAGACCTGCAGGAACTTGAAATTGTAAGCATATTTATTGGAAATTGTAGCAAGAGTAAAGTAAAGCAGGATTTGGAATATTCAATGTACCTTTGCCTCTTAGTACCACAAGTTGACCTGGCTGAACTCCCTTTGGTATCTGGGAGTGGAATATAACAAAGCATTAGAAGTTGGTGCTAAAGATAGTGGAGGCAGGTCTAAAGGTAATCAAAATATAAAAAAACAAGTTTAGATTTCAGGAAGGATGGGAACTTGGAAATGGAATCAACATCACTGGATGTGGCATGGAATTTTAACTGATGCAATCATGGAATATTACTATTTAATATATGACCTAAAATTGAAAAGACAATTCTACCAAAAACATGGATGAACAATTTATGCCCACACCATCATTTTTCCAGATTTTTCCATGGCAATGAACGCAAATGATATAAAATTCAGGGCCAAGCCTGTGTTTATAAAATAATGTAAGCCAATTTTCGGAAAACTCAGTGTTCAATTCACTTGCTTTTCAAATACCAGAAAATTTAGTGATAGCTGATACATCTTCTTAAACTGCACACTCTTTCATAGGCAGTATCCCCAATGAGGCAAGACTCTGGCAGTCCCAGTGAAAACAGTGACCAAGTTGAACAACAAAAGATCCCTCAAATGTACAGTAAAACATTGAAGCAGTTGCTTCTAGAATGGCTTGAAAGAAATGTAAAGATTAAGTTAGAGGTAGTAGGTTATTACATTTACTTGCATCTTCCCTGACAATGTTGGTACTTCAACCTTACCACCAAGAATTGCCTGTATAAAAATCCAAACCTTGATTAATTGACAAAATAAAGCAGGGCATATGGTATTTATTGCTGTGATTAGCGTGAAGGATTCATGCCAATCAGGGTTGACTGCATCTATAAATAAGAAATGAAACAGAAATTTGAACAAATAGGAACAGTGTATTTTCATGGTGGGTGGAACAGTTAAACTTGACAGTGGCTGCACCAAGTAAAATAGATAAAAGAACACAAGGACACAGGCTCAATAAGAATTTTACATAGGATTTCTGTTCTCACTTGAGTAAAACTAATATTAGCATCCACATAAATATCTGCACCATCTCTAGCAAAGACAGGATCATCAGCAACCTGCATCAGCACAACAAAGTTAATTTCATAAAGCATAGGGAACAAAGAACTCTTAAACGAATAACCAGCATTTCTGTTTTTGGAAACAGTCATTATAGGTAAGACTCCGGAACATGTTCAGACACTTTATTTCCAGATAATGGTGTTTGCAGCTAGCACCACAAACACAGCCCGTCCATCCCGACTAATTTATTCAAAAGGTAATAAAACATTTTAGATATAACAGCTGACCAGAAAATCCTACAAATGAAGTTCTCATGCCACAAAAATAGAAGATCAATGGAGGAAGACAGAGTGGTGCCAACTACCAAACAGAGCAAATAAAATGTGTTGATTCTAAGCACTTGGGAAATGAAATTGGACAAGACTCCAAGCAGATTCCTATTGATGATTCAACAGTCAATTTTCAGGTGCTACGTCAGGCTCAAACTACTATGACAGACATAAATCAACATAAAAGCCAGACTTCATAAAATTCCAAAATGGTCCTTTACATATATATATATATGGAAGTAAAAAATAGTTCCCTTCCCGAGGGAGGAAATTTTCAGAAAAGGTAAGGATGTACCTTTAGATTAATGAATAAGTTGCCAGATTGACTTCCTTGTCCCCCTGTATTACCAGCTTCTGGCACACGGATCGTATCTCCAGAATCCACACCTAATCCATTTGCCAAAAGAAATTTGAAAAATTACATATACTGATGAACTTCAATAGCAAAGAAATAACAATTTTTTTTTCCATAAAGATAGATGATATGCATTAAGAAAGTTCTACAGAAAAAAAAATTCTAATATGCCGCTGAGTTTGACTTTGACTTTGGATTAGAGTCTTAACGGTAAAAAGTCTGCATCCTTAGCTTCATAACTTCTCAATTTTTTAATAAAGCTATTCAGTTAGACACCTTGCAAGTATTTATGGGAAATACAAAATCAAAGTGCACCCTTTTTTATACATAATTTTTCTTTAAAAGACTGCATAGCAAACCGCAGTGATGCATTTTCTACCCCAACAATCCAAACAAATAGCATCATCAACACTAATTCCCAAAATAACCCTACAAATTCATAGATCACGGATTTAGCAATTTCAGCAATACTGCATTTAGTCTTCAATGTAAACACATGAGTAAAAAGGGCTCATTTAGCCAACCTTCTATAGGAAACAACTCTAACAATTATCATAAGACATACTAAAAAAAGAAAAAATTACTAATCTCCTTTTTCCTTCTGTTATTGAGTCATAAAAAACTTGAACTCGGGGTCCCCCGTACCCTAACCTGATTTCATCAATCGCATGAATTAAAACAAACCTTCTGGTATTGTGACTTTAACTTCCTTAATGCCTTTAACCACCCCCGATCCTTTACATGACATACATTGTTCCTGTGCAAATGGATAAATCATCACCAATAGTTACAATATAAAAATAAAAGGAGTTAAAAACTAGAAGTCACATCAGACCTTAATTATACGGCCCCATCCTCTACAACGGCTGCAAGTTGATGTAAATGGAGGAATTGTAACCTGGGTGTAACTTTGAAGGTTAATAGACACAAAAGACTAGATATAAAGGCTCAGACTTCCTAAATAGCAGGAAAAGAAAATTATTCTCACAAAAGTGGCTCCTTACAGAATGATTTTTATCCACTAATCATAATCAGAGTAGATCCTCAGAACACTTACTTTCCCTACTCCTCTGCAATAAGGACAAACGCTTGCTTTGGCATTTGCTGGATAGCCACGCCTATCTGCATCATGCATTACAGTATTGACAGGAATGAGGAAAATCAATCATTTATACTGGGTAAATAAGTTTCAAAAGAATTTTTTAAAAGGAGAATGGATAATATAAAAAAATGTGAACTTCAATATTTCAGTCTGATTTTATTTTTTTCCATTTAAACCTGTTTTGTTTGTCGGCCAAAAGAAATTTCACCCCCAGCACTTTTCAGGAAGTGAAAAAGAACAACATGGAAACCCTATGTTTAATGTGAAGAGGAAATCTGAGCTTGATTTAAATTTTCAACCTTGAAAATTAATTATTGTCCACAGATATCTTCCTTGAAAAAATTAACTTACCGTTTGTTTTTTTTTAAATAAAAATTCACAAATTAAAATTTTTGTCTCATGAAAGAAAAAGGTTTAGGGGCTTCAAAAGATATATTCACTATTGCAGTGCTTTCGTTGCAATTAGAGGTAAAGAAAAAATCAACTGTTGACTCATGTTCACAATCGATATGCATGAATGACCTTTAAAAAGACAAGCATTTTGCAAAGAAGGGAAATAAAGATTCATTTACAGAAAAGGCCTCTTGCTGCAAGACTACCCAAATTCAATTATTCCCAGAAAATAATAGTTTTACTCACCACAAGAATCACACGGAACATATGCATCAAAAGTCACATGCTTTGTGCATCCTCTAGCAGCTTCAGAAAAAGAGAGAACTAGCTCCAACTTCGAAATATGAAAACACAAAACAAGTGGTTTTTAAGCACAGAAACTATATGTTAGTTCAGGATAGGCATTGGAGAGCAAAGGAAACAAAAGAAGTTCACCTGAATATCGGATGCAAAATGATTGGTCTCGTCTTCAAAGATCTGCAATATCTTGCAGTTTCAGTATCTGACAAGCGACAGAAAAACATACTGCGAGAAGATAAAGGATATAGACAAGATAGTACAATGTACCTCAGAGAATATTTTACGGAATGAATTAGAGAAATCAGTTCGATAGGCATATCTAAATCCCCCTGCATTACCAGCACTGTATCTAAATCCAGCTGCATCATCAGCACCATATCCAAACCCCTCTGCACGAGCAGCACCATAATTGAAACCTCCATTATGCATCTTCATCAGAAAATAAGATTCAAGAAAAAAGAAAAAGAAATTAAGTTTGTTTAAAACTATAACAGAAACACAAACTCTAAGTTCAACATTATTATTGCGTGATAGCAAAGGATAACCAATGCTGACTGAAGAGATTTGAGTAATTTAGAAATTCAACAAGTTAGCACTATTAAATACATAAAAGTAAAAGAGAAGCTTCCTACCATATCATATTGAGCCCTCTTCTCAGAATCTTGCAGCGTCTGAAATGACAAACCAAATCACTTAAATTTAAGGCAGTTCAAGAACCATTTTAAATTCTGATAATCACATTTTTCTCATTGAAAAGGACTAACTTTGGCAGTTAAATAGCGAAAAAGAAACCCATAAAATAAACAGTAAATGCGCATTAAACAAATTCTGCTGGTGAATTAATGATATGGACCTCGTAGGCTTCTCTAATCTCTTGAAATTTCCTTTTTGCTGTAGGACTGTTTGTATTTGCATCTGGATGGTACTTCTTTGCAAGCTGCAAATACAATGCAAAGTCAGCAACTCAAACAGAGAGGGGAAAGAGAAGCTTGCCGGATTTCTATATGCTCTAATTAACAAGTGAAGTAAAATGTAGCATATAGAATTCTCAAAATGAACTCACCAGATGAAAAGCCTTCTTAATATCTTCTCTGCTAGCATTTTCAGAAACACCAAGGATTTCGTAATAATTCCGTTCCTTAGCATTGCAACTTCCTACACAAAATAATAATAAAAATAAAAAAAAGACTGCAGTTAATGTAAGTTTTGAATTAGGAAAAAAAAAAAACAAACAAATAAAATACTAATTAAGGTATTAACAAAAAATTCCAAACCTGAGGCATGAATATATCTCCGCTTTTTCAATTGAATTTCTTTCATTTCGAAATCAGGAGGTTTGATGATAGAATAACCGCAGCTGTGCAAAACTTATCGAAGGAAAAAGAAAACGCAAAAATTTAGCATCACACGCCACAAATTGCTGCTGCGTAATAGGTTTGTTTTTGTAATAAAGAGAGCTCACATCGATCAGAAAACGACGAGATTTTTCGAAGGCGTTCTCCTCGATCAACGGCGGTGGATGATAGGAAATGCAGCCGGCACTGCACAAAATATATTGTCAAAAAAATTATTAAAACAAGATAGATACAACTGCTTAGCTAAAAATAAATTCAGTTCAGAAATGATTTTATTTTTGTGAATCCAAGTGAAGAAATTTTAATTTTAAAATTCATTTCACTCACCAGTCCTAACAAGCTGTAACTTCGCATTTGGAGTAAAAAACGAATTACCCAATCCAAAATTGAAAAAGCAAAAAGAATAATAATTAGATAAAAAATGAAGTCATCGTATTTGGCAAGAAAAGAATTGAGTCACCGAGTTTTCACCGATTCGATAAATCTTTACTGTTGGCGGTTTAGGGTTTATTGCATCGTTTTGCGTGGTGCGGGGGTTTTCCTTTTTTGGAAAAACTACATTTTAGGCCTCATATAAAGTTAGAATTGTTCTAACAGTACCTTATAGTCTCAATAATCTCAATGCAAACCCTAAAAGTTAAATGTTTTCACAACTGTCAGGTTCAAGAAGAATAACAAGAGAAAAATGAAACTGAGATAAAACAAATAATTTTTTATTAGCTTTGATTAACTATTTTGAAATGAGAATTAGATGTGTATCAGCTGATATTATTCAATTTAATAGAAAAAAATTTGAATTTCACATAAATTAATGTAAAAAGGATGATGATAGAATTTTATGATTTTAATCAACAATTCCCTTTTCTTATGAACTTGTTTTAACTTGATAAATTAAATAATATTGTTCTTTTTTTTCATTATGTGTAGTTACTAAAAATATTTTATTTTATCAACTTTTAGTAAGTTTATATATATATATATATATAATCGTAAAGAGTCAAATTGAACCTTTTTAAAATACTTATTGTATCATAAAATCACAAAAATTACACCTTTTAATTATTTTGGTATATTTGTTAAAAAATTGATGGAAAATACATGAACTAACTTCGGTAGTCACATTAGCACGTATGTGTTTTCACGTCTAAAATTCACATTTCATATAATGTGGTATGGTTGAAAGAATGATAGCAACATATAAATGCCACATAGAATTTTATGTGGCTTATTTGACAAATTAACTTTCCAATTATGAAGTACACATCAACCATCCCAAGCTTAATTGAAAAATCCTTAATATTTTGGATGCATGATGATGATGATCGGGATGAATATGATCATTTGAGGTTGAAAACCTATAGTTGTTCAAATGGATGTCATCACAAAACCGTTGCCATTCCAACAACTCTTGACGAAGATTTGGATATGAACTAGAACTCCTCGATCTATTCAATGAGTCATAGCTCACGAGTTTGATCTTGATACTCAACTCATCAATGTGAAAGAGTTAATGGTTTTGATTTTTGTACATTTGACAAGCTCTAATCTTCTTAATAATTGTTACTATCATTATTGTTGATGTTGTTGTTTTTGCTTGAGAAATCCATAGACAATAACAAAAAAGACTAGAACTAAGTTGATTAAGTCCTAGCTTTTCTTGATCAAGTGTGGTTTCAAAACTTGAGATCCGAAAGAGCCAATTGAATGAATAATAACAAAACTCAAATGATGATAGACCATAGAGGCGAGAATCAACTTGATGGTAAGAAAGATAGACAAACCGGAGAGACGATAACAATTATATTGTCCGAGTCATTGTCTCTATTTTTCTTATTATTTGTAGAATGTTTTGCATAATGTATAATTGAAATAACAAATAGTACCTTTATTCTTCACTCATCAATAAATAAAATGTTTGCCAAAAAAAAAAAATCCTCTTATTTCTTATTAGATCATGAAATTTGGTAGAGATTTTATGAGAATTCAAGTATATAAGATTTCAAAGAATCATGTAATGATGATAAGAAATAATTGAACTTTAACTTTAATAATAGAAAAAGCTGAAGTGGGTTTACCGAGAATTTGAATTTAGAATATGAGATTTGAAGAATTTTGAAATCCGAAATGAAAAAGATTGAAGAAGAGAGGAGATTTGGTGAAGAGGAAAATGTTTCTTTCTTTTAGGATTTTGTTGCGGTAAAAGAAAGAAGCGGGAAAAAATCCATTTGGAATCGACATGGAATTTATGTAGGTTTACCTCGTATTTAGTGCCTATACGAGTTTGATTTTTTTTTTTAATTGAGACCACGCACGATTTTTCAATTTGATTGAAAGTCTCTACTCTTACAAATTTATTGATTCAAACTTTTTATTATAACGTCGTTAAATATTCAACTTATGTGACAAGTTAAAACTAACGGTAACCTATCGGGCATAAATACGTATCAATATGGGTCATAAGCAATAGCATCTCTTATAAAAAGAAGAAGAAGTTAAAAGCATGTTTATTAGTAAACAAATACTTAATATTTATAAATTATTAAAAAATACTACATTGCCCCCACCCTAATCTCCCTTTCTCTTTAATTGGAAATCCAAATCTCCAAATTCTTAAATCCTTAAATCCATCATCCACCCAATCATCTCCAACCCTAGAAAATTCACAATTGCCACTCCCAATCCATTTCCTTGTCATCTCCGGCACGACAACATCCTTAATTATTTTCAAACTATCATTTATTATCATTACCATATCTTATTTTTCAAAAACAAAAAAATAATACATTACATACGAGCATTGTATTTTCTCAAATTTTAAAAGGCTTAAAATACGTTAGATTCCTTAAATTCTCCTAAGGCTTCGCATGAACAACAACCTAATACTTCTTATAAATGCCTTTTTTCACTCGCAAAGACAAGTCGATAATTCATGTTAGCTACTGACTTGTAGTTGAAATCGCACAAAATTCTCCTTTCAAGACTTCGACTAAAATAAGCATCTAGTTAAACAATAGTTTCGTTTAAATGATAATGTTCGGTAAGCTTCTTTTAGTGGCTAGATAGTGGGGTTTTGTATGGTTCGGACCTATTGGAGATCAAAGCTTGATGGACAATGAAGATGGCAATGAGGCCGGAGGTGTGATGGTTGTGAGTGGTGTTTCAAGCATAAGGGTTTATGTGTCAAGCTAGAAAGGTTGCATTGGTTAGTGGAAAGTTTTAGGCTAGCTAAAGAATGATTGAGGGGAGAAGGATGTCGTGGTCGGTGGTGGTTAGGGTTGAGTTGTTAGGTTTTCACTAGCTAGAGAGGTTGTGGCTAGGATGAGGGTTTGGGCGAGGAGTGAAAAATGGTCGTTGTTGGAAGGTGGAGCAAGTTGTGGTGGTGATGGGTGGTTGATGGTTGATAAGCTATGATGTTAGTGGGTTGTGATGAAGAGGAGGTGGTTGCTAGGGTTCGGTTGATATGATAGGAGTGAGGACAATTTTATCTTCTTCTTTTTTTCATTTTTATATACTAAATATTAGTTTAATAATATAAATCTTTTTAATTTTAGTTTTTTTTTTTAGTTTCAAATTTATACTAAAACAATCAAGGCCCATATCGCCACATGTCAATTCTTGAGTAGTTGTTGTTAGTTTTAACATGCTACGTTGGATTTTAGTTAACATAGAGTCTCAATCAATAAATTTATAAGAATAAAGTGTTATAATCAAATTAAAAAATCATATAGGATCCCAATAAAAAAAATTAGAATTATACAAGTACCAATTATGAGATACGTTTGAATTTATGTCATGCCATCATCATACCATTCGTATCAAGTCATATGAACTTAGAATTTTGGACAAAAAACACTTTTCATGCTAAAATGATATCGAGAAGTTAATTCACATTTTTTCATTAACTTTTGAAAGAATTTATTAAAATTATTAAAATATATTAAGTTTATGATTTTATGACACAATAAGTCTTTTGAAAAATGTAAGATTAACAATAGATAATAAAAAACTATAGGAGTCTAAATGGAACATATCTAAACAAAGGCGCTAAAACTTACTTTTATCTTTTCTTTCATCTAGACGGGTATAACGGTGACGTTTAGTTCAGGAGAGAAACAGAAAAAAGAAAGAAGATTAGTTCATCCGAACATCATCTAAAATGCGAGAAAATCGAAAGCCTCCTTGAAAGGAGGCAGCTGCTTCCATGGCGATTAGGTCACTGATAACCATTCATCTCAGAAATAACAGTTTCTACAGCTATAAACTTCAATTCGAAGGAAGAAACCTCTTTAAACTCATATCCTCACCATTATCAAGCAATAAACCCAGTTATATTCATTATAAAAGTAGCAGTAGCAGCAATGACAAGACCCTTGAAACTGAAATTTTGAGACTGAAAAGCCGTAGCAGAAGCCCCACCACACTACTTCAAAATTGGATCAACAACGGTAACAAGGTTAAATTCTCCCAGCTCAATTTGATCTCTAAACAACTCCTCAAATCTAAGCGCTTCAAACACGCCCTTGAGGTAGTTTCTTTCTTCCTTTCTTTCTCTTATCCTCTTTTTTTAATTATTATTTTGTTTGAAATTATTTACATTTACATAGAAATAATAATTCTATGATTCTGTTACTATACAGATATTACAATGGATGGAACATCAAAACAATTTTCGCATTACGCCAAGGCATCATGCTTTAATGATGGAATTAATTGTTAAAGTGGACGGTTTAAATAAGGCTGAAGAGTATTTTGAACGAATTTCCGATTCGGGTTCTAGAAAAGTTGCGTCTTTGCCCCTTTTACATGGTTATGTGAAAGAAAGAGACATTGGTAAAGCTGAGACTTTCATGATCGAGTTGAATTCCTCGGGGCTCATAGTGACCCCGCATCCATATAATGAGATGATGAAACTTTACATGGCTACGTCTGAGTATGACAAAGTGCCTCTTGTGATTGCAGAAATGAAGCGAAACAAGATAAGCCGAAATGTTCTTTCTTATAATCTTTGGATAGGTGCGTTTGGTGAGGTGTTTGAGGTTAAGAAAGCAGAGATGGTTTACAAGGAAATGGTGAGTGATGAAATTGTTGAGGTGGGATGGAGTACGCTAGCTAGTTTGGCCAATGTTTATATCAAGGCAGGGTTTGTTGATAAAGCTCTTTTGGTGCTTAAAGATGCGGAGATGAAGTTGTCTACTAATGGCCGCCTTGGTTATTTCTTTCTCATTACGTTGTATTCGTCTCTGAAGAATAAGGAGGGAGTTTTTCGGCTTTGGGAAGCTAGCAAAGCAGTTGGTGAGAGGATCCCTTGTGCTGATTATATGTGTGTAATTTCATGCTTGGTTAAGTTAGGTGACCTTGTAGCAGCAGAGCAGGTATTTATCGAATGGGAGTCAAATTGTTCCAAGTATGACATTAGAGTCTCGAATGTGCTTCTAGGTGCTTATGTACGGAATGGATTGACGGAAAAAGCTGAATCATTTCATCTTCGTACCGTGGATAGAGGGGGTACCCCAATTACAAAACATGGGAGATCCTAATGGAGGGATGGGTAAAAAGCCAAAGAATGGATAAAGCCATTGATGCGATGAAGAAAGGCTTTGCCGTGTTGAAGTTGGAACGTTGTCATTGGAGACCATCGCACGGTATTTTGATGGCCATTGCAGAGCACTTCGAGAAGCATGGAAATTTTGAAGATGGAAATCACTACATCGAGGTTGTTCACCGTTTGGGTGTTGCAACTTTACCTCTGTATAAACTATTCCTTAGAATGCATCTCAATGCTCAGAGACCAGCTTTGGGCATCCTTAAAATGATGGAGAAGGATAAAGTTAAGCTGGATGATGAAACTTCTGCCCTTGTTCAAGCCTTCAACTCATGATCAATGGCATAGATCATTGCAGTAGATTTAGGGATTGCAATGGTAACTGAAACCAATGGATAACCATCCGAACTTATCTGAATGGGTAGTTTCTTTCTTTTCTTTTTTGGCAAAGGACAATTTCAGTTGGGATATTGGTTGATAGTTGAAGGTCATGGTTTGAGTGTAACCCGAAACGAAAGATTTTTATTTCTAGTATTTGGCGATGTGTTAAGAATATTTTTATGTCGTAGTACCTATTCGGTTATTGTTGTTACGGGCTATCTATTAATATGGTTGGCTTTCTTGGTGCTTGGCTAGAATCAAAACTCGCACCTTCCCGGAATCAAACAAAGCTGTGCTCAATCTTCACCACCAGCTAAAGCAGCATCTTTCATATCCCTTCACTCCCACTGAAGTAAAAGCTGTATTCTGAAAGATTTTTGGAGCATTCATGTTATTGGATAAAAAGAGAGAGCGAAATGCTGCACGGGGATGCTAATTGGCCCCGCAAACATTGACAGCATGGGTTGTCTTCCAGGACTAATTTGTTCAATTACTGTTGCAAGTAAATTACAGGAAATTAGAAGAGAAGGATTCTATTGCTCTCTGATTCAGCAAATCTTTATTTATTTATTTATTTGCGTCATACTTTCATTCATGAATTACTGCTGATTATTCGCTGCATAGTTTACAGATGACTTGTTGATGGTGCACCTTAAAGCATGTGCAATCACAGATGACGCTGATGGCTTCACTCTTTCAGGCGGATGTGGCTGTCAATATCTCTCGTGGAAGTTTTTGTTGTGCTCCAGCAGTCTATCAGGAGGTGGTGCACATTCTTTGATAATATAGTCTTTAGATTTTCTCGAGCTTCTTTTGCAGCCTACATCTTCTCACCTTCCGTAACACATGGACGCATGATTGCTGACACAGACTGAAAGAAGAACATTGACGATGTAGCTTTTAGATAGAAAAAAGGAAAGCTGTATTTTCTATTCTGCACACGTAATCCCTATGAATCTAATATTAACCAATTCTTAACGCAATCTAAAGAATTTTGAAGGTTCTTGAATGAGAATACAAATGGATAAGTAAAAAGAAGTTCCTTGTATTTTGCTGCTATTGCGATCTAGCAGCCTTTTTTCAACGTAGCCTAAGGCAATTTTTTTTTTTTTCTTGTTATCATTAATCAAGAACCTTACTTTCAATTACAAAGCAAAACATTTTTAGTACTCAACTTTATTCCAAAAAATAAAAATAAATAAAAGTCTTTCTCGGAGTGCAAAATGTGCCAAAAGTAAAATACTACCTTTGGACACTTTTTATTTCAAAAAAAAAAAAACCAACCAACCCTGCAACTCTTAGCTTACCTTCTCATCTGCAAACTTGGCCCAGGAGCGTGCTTTGGCCCTTTCATAAGGATCTCGTGGGAGAAGTCGATTTCCTTTTCGCACCTCATCAATATATTCGATGATTGTTTGGGACCTTCTTCAACATAAGAATACGCTATCCCTTTAGCTTTAAAGCCCATCTAACCCTAAAAACAAAAGGACTGAACCAAAACCCAAGCAAAGTTACGCACGCCATCTCCCCTCATGCCATTTCTAGTATAGTTTATGTACATCCATGGTGTGTATCATCTCGTTTCAGGGTAAGCTAAGCATGACCTTAGTAGCATCCGTTAAGCAGACTTGTGGGCCTTGATAGGGAGACAGAGGAGGTCACAATCCATGGCAACAATCGGCCGACCAATAGGAACTTTACAAACGGACATTTATCGGAAATTTGGGTCATATAGAAAGCCAACTATCCTCTGGAAATTCCTGTTCATTCGCCGATCGAGTGCCCATTACAAGGCTAAAGGCTATGCAGAAGTTTTCTTTTTCCTTAGAATTTTAATCACGTTTAGCATTAAACGTTACAGTTTTCATCACGAGGACAATGGTACCGGAGAATAGTCAAAACACACATGGACGTGATACTACCGAATAATTAAGATGTAACGTTTAATTTTGGAGCCTATAGCAAAAGTGCGCATATTATGGTAATCCGGGACGGTCATGGATTGTCTCTAGTATTTCTCCTTTCATTCTGCAAGTTCGAACTGGACAGAATCAGAGGTTAAAACATAATTAAGCTGCATAGAACATGTTGTTACAACATAAGAGTCTTTGCATTAGCACGTAACCATAATTTCACTCGATCAGTTGAAAAGTCATTCCAGATGTCAACAAGCATGAAAACCCCTGACTACCTTCAAACCCCATTTGAATGGTGCATAATGCCAGCATATACATGCAGGATTTCTAACGAACAATCCTATGATTAAGACTTTCTTCTGCAAGGAACATGATGTCCAGTCTATCTGAAATTTCTGTTCACATTCATGTGCCCGCCCCAATAGCTGTGAATACCGAAACCTCATTGACCCAAAAGGAAAGCTTCATTGTAGATCAGTTTACTTCCATAGAAGATCAAAAGTCAGTTAAAAATGTCAAGAGAAGCGAGAGAGAACTTGCATCTTTGGTATGATTTCGATCAGGGAAGTAGAAGCAACCTCTGATTTCAACTTCACTATAAGGATGATAATGCTAGTTCAACATTTCTTGAGATTCGATCGAGTATTGGCTCCTGCAGGAAGAAGCAAAATTCTGTCAATGTCATTGCAAGCATGAAAGATACATGAACTACTTAGCTTGGTGGCATAATATGTCTGATGAAACAGAGTTTACCTCTGTCAATGGCATCTCAAATTTTGATTTTGTTATTGTCTCATACAAGAAAATATACCTACCATCAAAAGGAAGGGTCAGCCAACTAACGTGAACAGCATTTAGCCACTATTTTCAAACATGAAGGCAAAAGAACTTATATGACAATTGTAGTGAGTGAATTTCTCAAGCATTGTCAGAAACTGCATATAACAAAACCACAGAAACCCACTTTGTCAAGACAACCTCAAAATAGGAATTCGACAGCTAGAAAGCATAAACAAATTACAAATGCTTGTTGCGTTAGGACCCCTATTCAAACATCAAAGCCATGTAATAAATTATGTAGTCTCTGCTTTCAAGAAAAGGATGCTATAAATGAAAAATCAAGGATGGCAAGATGTTTAGCCAGAATATTCTCTATGTGAAAAAAAGAAGATATGCAGGCAGTACCAAAATTGAGCACTTCAACTCTGGTTTCTCATTCTGCAGACAATTTAAGACTGACATAATTCATAAACTGAATATAATTTCATGCCAAATCATGTACTTTTATTATATATTCAGACTGAGTTGCAAAGAACTTTGCAATCCATTCATGAATAGTTGATATATAGGGAATTAGCATCCTGCAGTCAGAAGGCAGCTTAACATAGTGATCAGAACTAAATATGCTCATACAGCTGCAACAACTAGGCGGTACAATATAACTAAATTCTTACTGCAGATATGATCTAGTTATAATGAATAACAAACAATTAATATAACCGGCAAGATACAAGATATCACCAGCAAAAAAGCTTCTTCGTTGGATAAAATACAACAGCATTCATCAATGTTTATGCCGGGAAGGAAGGAATGAACTGGAATGGGGAAATTCCAGTCAGTATCAACCTATTGCCCTCAATAAATCTTACTACCATGTATGCTTTGACCTAAATGGGAGTGTAGTCCCCTCCCCACCATTAAATAGAAGAGAACAGGGGAGTTTCAGATTAGAACGGATGTTAAAATGCCATCCTAGTTAAAGCGGTTAGGAAATATTTTGTCTGGTTACAAGCAAGAATATTCCCAGTGTTTCCTCAACTCACAATATATGACATTTGGGAGAATAATTTTTGGAAATAGACCATCAGATTTCTGAGGTATTTAGAACCCGCTTTAGCAGTAACTGTCTTGCTCTTTAGATTCCTGGTGCATGGTGACCTGAATAAGGGTCAATTGATGTAATAGACTTACCGCCAAGCTAGCTCACAAACAAGATCTTCAGGAGCGTCAGGGAGGACCTAGAAATTGAATCAAAAAAAGAGATTTAGCATTTGAGAACAGATGCAATTAATGCAAATGTGATTGGACTTCTTAAGTTGACTTGCCTTGTCTTCATACGGATTGCAGTGATCTTTGAACCATAACCTCAAGAACTCCTAACAAAAATCAAATCTCTATAATGTCAAATACAATCCATGCTACCAAAAAGTAAGAAACGTCCATAACAATGCTCCAAACACTGTTGAGAAGATAAATGGTGCATAACCAGATATTTAATGGCACCTGTACACTCAAACATGTGAGAGAGAACAAGCAAACATTTAAAACCCAATAACACACCTTATCAACATTTTCAGGTTCAAGGCCATTCTGAAACCGCTCCTCATAAGAATTGGCAATCCAGTATCTGCTCGAGTCAGGTGTATGCACCTAAAATTTCAAGACAAGACAATACAATAATTTTTGGTTCCGGGTGCATGACTTATTGCAAAACAATGAATAGCATAGTGCAGATAATTCCATACCTCATCAATCAATAGAACTGAACCATCAGAGCCCTTTCCAAATTCATACTTTGTGTCTACTAATATCAAGCCATGCTCTAAAGCCACACGCTTCAATTCCAAAGAAATTATTGAGCTAGTTATAATGACAATTATAATAAAGCCCATCAGACAATAGTCAGCATGAGCAACATAAAAGGAAATGCCTTCTTAAAAATAGGAATTCAGAGGAAACACTGAGAGTCATATGTGAATTCCAAATTAGTTGAAGTTATGTAACATCTAAAACTGATCAATTAGCCTTGCAATATGACAGAAACATGCCCCTAAGGTAAAGTCATTCTGTAGATATAGAGAGTGACCCGTGGGATCAACAGAATTCCTGATATGACAGCTAAAGTCTATCCAGCAAATAGTGTGTGAGCAGATACGCAATGGAGTCATTAGAAAGGTTTTGTGTGGATCATCACTTTTCTGTAAATCTTTCTAATTGTTAATTCATGAAGTCCCAAGACAGTTTGTCAACCAATAGACTTCACTACACTAGACCACAAAATAAATAAATGAATATATATATATATATATATATATATATATATAAACAAACTCACCTGCCCATACTCAAACAGGCTCAATGCTTTCCTGCTGGCTTCATAATAATCAGCTTCATTCATCAGCCCACTTTTAATTATCTGCAAGTTAAGGCAAGTGAAAGAGATGAACCAATAAGTACAGAGGCTGAAATGGGACCAAAATAATAAAAACCCATAAATCAGCCATGTGACAAGAGCATTCCCTGATGAAAATTGCACAGCTAGTAAGAGAATTAGTGATATAAGTTAGTATCCCTAGCAAACATCTATCCAAAGTTAAAATTGGAATATAAGATTGAACCTCGTCTGGGGTTATAGGAACATCATGGTCCTCAGCTTTGGTAGTTGGAGTGAGTATATTTGCAGGTAGTTTTTGGCTTTTTACCAAGCCTGTAAAATAGTAATGGATCAGCCACAACATTTGATCGTTAATATTTTTATAGTATATATATAGAGGAACCAAGTGATGAAACGGGAACCGCACCATCTGGAAGGGCATTGCCGCAGTAATTCCGGACACCATTTTTATAAACCGTCCATAGTGACGTATCAGTACTTCCAGTCACATAACCTCTAACTGCAAATTAGCAACATAATTCAAATCAATTGAATTGTTAATGACCAAAACATTCAACCTCAAACACTTATAACTTGTAAAAAATCATACTTACCAACAAATTCAACAGGAAAAACAGAACATTTCTTTGCAATTGTGACATTTTCATCAGGAGCTGATACAATAGCATTCTGGGTTATATGTCGAGTTTTATCAAACCACCACAGACTGGTCTCATTTAGAACCTGAAAGCAAGATACTTATAATTTCAAGGTTTCCCAAAGAATGTAAATGTCTACAATATTCAAACTCAATCACTCCATTAATCAAGGATGGACTCTAGCAAACAGACCTGTCCTTTGAAGGGAACACAAGCGAGAATTCTATCAAATGCACTCTGCCTGTCAGTTGTGACCAAAACAAGATAATCCCCACCATCATATATATCTCTCACCTACAACAGAATCAATCTGCTCAATCATCTTTATCAATCTTAACATTATTGGTATTATTTGTAGTAGAAAAGAAAAGGAAAGGAAAAGAAAAATCAAATCACAGTTACCTTGCCTCTAGTTTTGGATTTGAGAGCAGGGACAGTCTTATGAAGGTTAGTCTCTGAGAGACAATTAGACAAGGAGCCCTTGATGGCACTAAGGACCTCTTCTTTGCGGGTGCTGTTGATTAGAGAATCGAGAGACAATACTTGTTGATTTTGTCGTGACATGGAGATTCTCGGGTATTTCGTTGATTTTAGAAAATCGAACAAGGGAGTGGATACTAGTGACGGTTTAGTGGAGTTGAGGAAAGGGTTTTTTGGTGGGTTTAAGGTGGTTCTCATACACTGAGCCATTGTTAGCGTTTGTCGGACGTGGGATAAGCGCCTTTTAGGATGTTTTATACTCCTGTGTCAGTGTTGTTTTAAAGCTGTGTTTGGTTGTCTTGTTTCTTTGATTTGTCACATGAATCAGAGGCTGTTTAGTTAAGCCCGAGCGTAGAGACTAAAGAGGCTTGTTCTTGGAAACTCAAGAGTCAAACTTCAAAACAAGACCCAACCTCAGCCACAACCCTAAGGCCCAGATCATGCAAAAATTAACTCATGATTAATTTTAGTAAATAAATAAATAATTTAATCATGCCATATGTGATGTTCTGAATTTAAATTTAAGATGTTGTTTTAGAAAGAATCTAAATTAAAGATTGAAACGTAATATTACATGAATCCAATAGATTTTGAAATATCACAAATCATTCGCCTATAAAAGTATTTAATTCATTAAAACACCATATTTTTGTTTTTTAAACGGAAATAAACCACCGAAATTGACCTTAATTAAACACCATGTTTTCATTTGAATTTAACACAACAATTTACCAATTAAATTACCAGTGATGGTTTTAAATCACATTTTTTCGGAGAGCCTTTGGCATGACATTTTATTATAATCCAAAATTTATCCCAAAATAATTTATAATAAAAACCAAAAAAGTATTTATGATGTTTATTCAAATATGTTTAATAAAAAAAACGACAAGAATTAATTTTTGGAATAATTATCAGAAAAATCATTTAAAAAAATCTTATATCCAAAAAACCCATCAATTTATTCTTAAATATCTTAAACCCAAAATAATATTTTTATTATCAAAACACGCAATAGTTAACCTCTAACTTAACACTAGTTAACTATTGGGTCTTTTGGTAAGAATTTTTTTTTTAGGTTTAAGAGATTTGAAAAATAAATTGATGAATTTTTTAGATTTTTGTTATATGGGTTTTTATCTAATAATAAACTCATTTCATAGTTTTTAATGAGTTTGATATTTATTATTTTTTTCATTATCAAATCAAGTTCTTTTTTATTGCATTCGAAAGAAAAAAAAGTTTTTGAGGTTTCTTGACTTTTAAATACTAACATTCGACTACCCTTTTTTTTATTATACTAAAAAATTCCTTATATTAAATTTTTTTTAATCGATCGTTTATTTTATTAATTATGAAATTAATTTTACTATCTAGTAACTATAGTAACCGAGGCAATGTAACTAATTAATATTGATGAAATGAGACTTTTGTCATTCTCTTGTAATTTAATCAAAGGGTTATCATACAAATAAGAAAAATAAAATATGTATGATTATGACTATTGGTGATTTCTTAAATCCTAACATATTGATAGGAAAAAAAAGCATAATCAGTAATGCTAGTTTTTAATTAATCAAAACTCAATATTTTTTTATCAAAAAATTAAATTAAATTACAAGATGAATGTATAACATATTTTAGGACATCAATTAAATAAAACATGATTATTCATGATAGAAATACATATCTTGAAAGATAATTGTTTCATTTAAACGAGGGATAATTATCAAAATACCTTCTAAAAAATCTTTAATCTAAAAAATTTGCTATTTTATTTTTAAATCTCCCAAACACAAAATAATATTTTTAAATCTTACAAGTCTAAAACAATATTTTTCTTATCAAAACAACCAATAATTAACACTAATGTCAATTATTAGGTGTTTTTTGTAAGAAAAATATTATTTTGGATTTGAGAGATTTAAAAATAAATTTGTGTGCTTTTTAGATAGAAGATTTTTTTATAAGGTTTTTCTAGTAATTATCCCTTAATTTTTTTATATAATATATATTTTTTTTCATGCAAACCATTGACTTCAATTGAGAGATTATTTTTTTAAGTGAAAAAATATTTTTAATTAAATTTCTTTATGATTTTTATTCAAAAAAAAAATTAACATTAAAACACACCATCTAAATCAAATCGTAAAAATTATGTTTATTCTCAATCATTTTTTGAACCTTAGAAATTTTGGTTTAGAATCATCTAACAATAGCTGCTGAATGACTGGAAAACCTTGCGTTTCCGTACAAACGATTACCACTACGCGACAAGAACCCCACGTATCTCGGTCGCGTGTCCTAAACAAAATCTTCCAATGCACTTATTAAGCTCCACCAGAATGCCACGTTCTCTTCCTGACGCGTATGCCTCACGCACACCTCCCATCAATCACATCACGTGTCGTCACTGACCACCCGCTTTTTGGTCTTTTCAAAATCGGAAATCCCAACACACCGAGCTGAAAACATCATTCAATTATTTTGACTTCCAATCAAGATCATAAAACCCAGACGGCTCAGATCATGCCACGAATCACCTTGTCTGCACTAAGCTGCACTGGAAACATTAAAAAAGGTACTATGGGTGGATATTATATTTGGGTTAGACCCGGATTCGGAAAATGCGGGAGATAGCGCGCGTCGTTTTGATGGAAGCCTAACACCAAAACCCCAAACCTCGCTGTCTCTCTCTCTCTCTATAAAAAGAAGTTCACTGATTGTATTATCTTCAACTTCTTCTTCTTTTTTTTTTCGATAATCGCGCGAAGATTTGCCCTAAATTTGTGATCGAAGCTTTCTAGTCTTTCCAATTCTGTTGATATTTGGTCCCTAATTTCTCTAACAAACCACCGATCTATATTCTATCTCTATCTTTTGGCGTGGATTTTGTGATTCTGATCTCTGACTTTAAACGACAGTTTGCCTCAAAAAAAGGTATTTTCTTTGCTTCGATCATAATCTATTTCATCACTTGCTGTTCAATTAATGAATAACAATGAAAGGATGAGTCTTCTGGTTTACGTTCCTCTTGTTCCTGCTGTTGTTGTTGAAATTTCAGTTCTTTTGGAATTTTAATTTAGGGTTCAGCAAGCTCAGATTATAATTATAATTTTGTTTATAAAATTGTTAAGACAATTATCTCAAAATGTTCGATTTATTTTTATCAAATGAATTTTGATGCCAATTTGTTTATATTCTGATTTTCTGCAACAGAATCCGGAAGTGCAGTGCTGTTGAAGTTGATTTTTTTCCCCCGAATTCTAATGTGCTATTGATGTGATAGTTGATAGTTTGATTTGATGAGGAAGAAGAGGAAAGGGAGTGAAGCGGATACGGGTGAGAATGCACAAGAGGATTATAATAGGTTTGAAATAACACCAGCATGCGATTTGAAATCATCGAATGTTAGGTCTCATTACTCGTTAGAAGATTATAATAGGTTGAAGAAGAGGTGCAAAGAAGATGTTGGTAGGGAACCCGTTACTTCTTTCAAAAGTAGGCTTGCAGGCATTGCTACTGCCCCGCCTTGTGGTGCTTCATCATCGTTGGTGCCACCTGGAAGAGGGCTTAAGAGGAAGATAGGGTGCATAGATGTCGCAACTCAGACGGGTAGGAAAAATAGGTTTGAAGATGACTATGTTTTGGGGGATGCTATCGGGCGTGGTAAATTTGGCTCTGTTTGGTTGTGCAGGTCTAAGGTTACTGGTGTCGAGTTTGCTTGTAAGACTTTGCAGAAGGGAGAGGAGACCGTTCATAGGGAGGTAGAGATAATGCAGCATTTGTCTGGTCATCCTGGTGTGGTGACATTGCATGCTGTGTATGAGGAGTCGGAGTGTTTTCATCTTGTGATGGAGTTGTGCTCTGGAGGACGTTTGATTGATCAGATGGTTGATGAGGGACAGTACTCAGAGCAACGCTCTGCTAATATATTCAAGGATGTGATGTTGGTTATTAAGTATTGTCATGACATGGGGGTTGTGCACAGAGATATAAAGCCTGAGAATATACTTCTAGTGAGCTCAGGCAAGATGAAACTTGCAGATTTTGGCCTGGCCATGAGAATTTCAAATGGTAAGAATGCATCTGTTTTGAGAAATGCTAATTTTGCATTCCAGTTCTTAATTTTATATTGCTTTTGCTTTGTCGGCACTGGGACTGAGCATGCAACAAATAAGCATATAGAGTGAAAATGAAGAATTTGTGACATGCATACCCACGGGGATGTCAGGACATTTTGTCGAAGAACTTTCATGCAGGAAATGCAGGAGGGAGGGATAACTTGATGTCTCTTGCATGATTTGTTGGTTGAATGCATACTGCTGTTTTTAGTGTGTGATGTCATCAGTTATTTAGTATGGTCAGTGTTATTATACAAAATAGTGCTATAAATATCTAAATACATCTCTGCCTGGTTGACTTTGGCAGACATCCTGCTATGCAACAGAACTAATAATAGATCAGATGCCCTTTGCAAGCTATTTTTGTAATTGTTACATATGGTGTCAAAGCTTGTCTTATGCATGTGTGATGGCATTCTTACTATGATGCAGGTCAGACCTTATCTGGTTTGGCTGGAAGTCCAGCATATGTTGCCCCTGAAGTTCTGTTGGGAAACTATTCCGAGAAGGTCGACATTTGGAGTGCTGGTGTCCTCCTACATGCTCTGTTGGTCGGGGGCCTTCCATTTCAAGGTGACTCCTTAGAGGCTGTTTTTGAGGCAATCAAGAATGTCAAGCTTGATTTTCACACTGGGATATGGGAGTCAATATCTAAACCTGCACGTGATCTAGTTGCAAGAATGTTGACAAGGGATGTCTCAGCCAGGATCACTGCAGATGAAGTACTGAGTAAGTGTCTGATTCATAATGAACCAAGACTACGGACATATGGTTCCATTTTTTTTTTCTTGTGGCTGCTTGAATCGAGGCCCATGGATTTTGTTGCAATTTTATCCAACTAGATGGTAAGACTAAGACCACTTAGGGATAGCTTCTTTAACGAGCAGACAGTTTGTGTTTGAAGAGAACCTTTCTCTGTGGTTCTTGTCTGCCTAGCAGCAACTTGATGGCAAGCTTTTTAGGTGATTGCCTCCGTGTACCTCTTCAAAGAAATCTCCATTGTTTACTTATCTCATATTTACTCTTTGGGTAGTAACGTCTCTTACTGAAAGAAGAATTTTCAGCTTCTGTGCCTTGCATGTGGTGAGCTGCCATGCTAAATTAGATAAATGATGCATCACTTATGATGCTAGGTTATGCATCACTTACTCATAAGTGATGCATCATTCATCTTGAGTACAACCTAAGAGTTCTTTGCAAGTTTCCATAGTGTGATGCAAGGTTTTTCTTCATAGTTCCATGTTTCCTATTTAATCCCAATATCTAATGGCTCCTCAAACGTATTGCGGGAAAGTCCTCAATTCCTGGCCTTGATGTGCTGGATCTGATTAAAAGCAGCTCCAAATTTCCCAAGTTGTACTTTGGATCTCATTCTTATCTTCCTGCATCAGTTTCTAATAGTGTAAATTTGTTTGAGATTTTAACACGTACATGAAGCTAGAGTTACCATTTTCACTAGGTTGACCATCCGCTTGACCTTTTCTGTTTGCAAAGGTGATTGTTAAATCCATTTTCACCAAGTTGTTGTTAACTCTCTCGAATTGTGCATAGTTTGTGATCTTGATTCATTTCTTGGACTCTATAATGGTGGAAATGGAGTCCTTTGTAAATTTATTGCTGGATCTGTCTACTAAACTGGCTGTTAATTGGTTTCTTCCTAGGGCATCCATGGATTTTGTTCTACACTGAGCGCACCTTAAAGACATTGTCCATCAGGTCAAAAACAAAGAATCAAGTTGCAGCAACTTCCTGCCAGCCTGCAAGTGCGCCTGTATTTGTGTCACATGGAAACCATGTAGGAGTTGGCTCTCCAGAAAAGGACTCAAATCAGCATTCATCTGATAGTCTGAGCTGCAAGGCAGAAGAGCAGGACGAATGTGGTTTGGTTGACGCACTTACAGTGGCAATTTCCCATGTTAAGATATCGGAGCCAAAGCGAAGTAGATTGTGTGGACCCACTGGCCCAATGGAGCAGCAGTGTTCATCTAACATCACGGCTAACAATCTGTGTAGAGCATTTTGATTCTGCTGACAGGCTGATACCACTAACATTGCTCATCTTCACTGTTTTGTGAGCTGGGGCTGAGGATCCGAAACAACCACACCCAAACTCCAATATTCTGTGGATACTGGGAAAAAATGGTTACGAAGCAACATATAAATAGCTGGTAAATATGGTGCCATTTCTTTTCGTCTAATATGACTGTAATTCTTTTCAGTGGTCATGTTCACAATTTAACCCCAATAATGTTTCTAGACTGATTAGCTGAGAAATTCTATGTACAGAATTTTGCAAATAGTGCTAATGAACAATTATGATTTATGTTTTAACGTATGTTGCATGAATTAGTTTCTTGCTTTTCGACGGCAGTTGTTGGGAGTAAAATTGCAGGCCCATTTCAATTTGTTTCTGGCTGTATAAATGAGCTCTTGAGTTGCAGAGAAGCAATAATGTCGAAGTTGACCATAACTGATGCCATCGGGATCGGAACGCCACTACTGTGCTCTCAAATGCTATACTGTTCTATTCAAGCTGTGCCACCGTCAATTATGGATCTTGATGCATAAAGCTTATAAACAATAGTTCTCCCAGCCTCTATTTTCAAACTTTTAACTGCGGAACATGCATGGTTTAAGGAACTTAGAAATGCAGACTAGTAGCATCATCTATTCTTCTTTCTTGTTTATTTCTGTATTTGTACAAAGTCGATGTGGTTCCAATAAGATTTGAATGTTGCAAAGGGGATTCGTTCCATTTATATCTTAATCGTGTCACTTGGAACACTAATCTTAGCCTTGGACGACTGTTCTCCTTTTCCAAGTAACATGACATTATGATCTTATAAACATGGGATCAATGGCTAATTAACAAAATGTCAAAATCAGAACATGACATCATGAAATATAAACATTTAAGCTGCCCTTGCCCGAGATTTAGAGCAGCCAGTTGTAAAATCCTCAAAGCTGAAGCTGGGTGTGGGACTGCGTCCGCCAGTATTCTATCGGTTACTATATTTTATGCATTAATCTTTTACCATACAAGATTGACAGAATTATTTATCAGCTTTCTTTAATATTATGGCCACTACAATCTCGAGAGTCAAACTCCTCATAGAAGGCCATAAAAATGGTTACAGGTTTCTCCCACTTCCGTTTCAACACTAAATTGAGTGAACAAGTATGGATGTGAAAAAGAGCAACAGAGCACTGACTAAAAGAAAGAGTTCTTGTCACTCAACCAAGATCATCATATCTATTTTTCTACTGCTGCTGATTCCCCTACTTATCCATTTGCAAGCTGCTCCTTTCTATTTCTTTACTGCTCCCACTTCTGCTTCGCGGGCTTTTTTCAACAAATGGAAAGGAATAGCGCTCGACACATCCAATGGTCCTGCTATCTCCAAGAACAGTGGCAGTTTGATCTCAAAGCTCCGAGATTCGGTCATTTTCCTACCCCTGAAAGATCTGAGGTTTGCTGAAACTGCCATGGACGGGAACACTTGGTTTATGAGCTCCTTGAACGACACCCGTGAAGTGAACGAAGCTGAATACCTCTATTTCCCTTCGCAAGCGTCCAAGGGACGGCTTCTATGTATCAAGGGGCGTCACACAAAAGATGGGACCAAGAACTCATATGCCTTGGCTTGGCCAGAGGCTCTTCCAGACTCTGCCACACTCATGAAGGGCTTGACCTTTGTGTCAGACACATACTATGATTATGGCAATTTGTGGCATGGATTGACTAGTGTGGCCCCCTTTATTGGTTGGTCTATAAAAAACGAGTGCTTGAAGCCTACAAGATGGGTATTGTTCCATTGGGGAGAGTTGAGGTACGAAATGGGGTTATGGTTGCAACACCTCATGCAAGCTAACTTTGGAGATGTTAACATCGAGGGATTTGAAAGGGGAGATGGGCCTTGCTGCTTTGAGAAGGCAGTCGTGATGAGACATAACGAGGGAAGTATGGGAAAGGAAAGGAAGCTTCAGGTTTTCGATCTGTTACGATGTAATGCTAGAAGATTTTGCGACATAAGACAAGAGACCGGTGAAAGAGGTGAACCGGTTATAAGGCTGATGCTGCTCTTGAGGAGAGGTTCAAGATCATTCAAGAATACAACAGCTGTTACAGACATATTTGCAAGGGAGTGTGCAAAGGTGGAGGGCTGCACATTGAAGGTAGCTCAGTCAGAGGACCTAAGCTTCTGTGACCAGGTTTGTCTGTAACCTCTACTCTATTGAATCCCAGATTTTTCTTTCTTTTTCCACTCATTTCACAACATAATTTCAGAGATACATTAGTACACTTAATTATTTCTCTCAGAAAAGAAAAAACCACACTCATCTTTTGTTACTCTCATACTATGCCGTTTATTGTAACTGAAAGCAAATTGCCCAGCATTCAGTTTCTAACAAATGCTAGTGATCACGATGCTTAACATCGCCAGTTAAATCAGGTGCAACTGCAGGAGTAATAACTGGTTAGGAAGGGAGCAGAGCTAATTCAAGCAAATGTCAACTTAATCAAACGTTTAGATACTCAAAACCATTTGATCGAATGGAAAGAATATGTAACTCTCTGACCATTTTGCAACTTACTGGTCATCGAGTTTCCTTTCCTGAAATTTTCTCTAAAACATGCTTATGCTAACAGAATGCAATAAGAATATCAATTAACCAACTGGAATTAATAAAAAGCTCAAGGATCAGAAATGCCATAGCTCATTCTTTTTACAATTGTGTTCGTTCAGGTCAGAGTAATGACTTACACCGATGTTGTCACATCCCCACATGGTGCTCAATTGGCAAACATGCTTTTCATGGACAGAAACAGTAGCGTGATGGAGTTCTTCCCTAAGGGATGGTTAGAGCTTGCCGGAGTGGGTCAGTATGCATATCACTGGATGGCAGACCAATCTGGCATGAATCACCGAGGTGCATGGTAGGATCCACTGGGCAAAAAGGAATGCCCATTTCCTCAACAAGATCTAGACTGCTTTAAATTTTACAAAGATGGGAAGGTTGGTCACAACGAAACCCAATTTGCAGATTGGGCAAGAACTGTTCTCAAACAAGTTAGGATAAGCAAGATGGAAATGGCCACTGGGAGTACCACTAACAAGCCACAGCCAAATTCAATTGCCTCCAAGTGCTAGTGTATTTGTTCACTTGGCATTTTAAAATCTTATATAACAGTTGAATGACAGCTAAATTTGAGCGAATAATGCTTTGTTTTTGTACATGAGAAACAAGGGGAAAGACATGCAATCATATTCTCTCTTTGCAAAAGTAATGTAGCATTCAACTACAACTAGAGTGAAAAAAAAAAAAAAAAAAAACACAATTTTCAAATGTCTCACTAGAAATAAAGCTGCTGCTGGGAAGATTTAAAATAGAACCTGCATTTTAACTCTTGGTACACCCAAAGGATGGGCATTGCTTAACAGATACATTGGTGCTCAATAGACCTCATCTTCTAGGCATTTTGGACCATAGGTAAACCACCAAGAAACAAAACAGTGCAAAAAGAACCACGTGAACAATATGGTTTCCACCATTCTTGATGATACTTTTGTTTAATTTCCTGATGTTGTTCTTCACGCCAGCTTGAGCTTTCATCACAGTCATTTGCTGTTACGTCATTAAAAGCAAGCTTTCAGAAGGCAGTTACAGATTTTAGTAACGGACAAATGTTTTATTTATCCATTTCCTTTACTATAAATAAAATTCAATATTTCAAGTTCTTTTTCTGTTTTTTGAGAATCAATGTTGTTTTCAGTTGTGCGCAGATGATAGTCCTTTTCTTTTACAATATAATGTGCTACTTCTAAAGTTCGGTACTTTTATCCACCATTTCCTTAGTACTACTAAAATTTCACATGGTGAAAGCAATTGTACTTCGTTTCAAATTATTTAAAAAAAAAAATGGTTTGAATTTAGCAAACTAGCAATTCAAATAGAAATCATAATATCCTAGGAGTAGCAATATTGAGCAAACCATAAATTAAAAGACGGCAGAAGTTAGCGCACACAAATGCAAAAAAAAAAAAAAAAAGTTTAAGCATATACCAGAGTCTCTAAAAAATCCTTCTGATACTTTGCTTCTGATTCTATCTCTTGAGCCACCTGCACCATATGATCAAATTAAAGCTAACAGAAGGGAAACTTCAAAGAATTCTGCAATCACACTGACTACATCAGATGGTAATGTTAAATTTCACGCTGAACGCACTTCATCATACAAATACGTAAATAATAATAAACACAGCAAAATCATCAATAGTAGTTTTTTATTTTTGCAGGAAATGTGCTCAAATTCCATACAACAAACATGGATCAATCAGTTTGATTGCCAAGAATGCAATGCATGTACTTCCCTAGTGTCTTTAAAGCAATCAATCCACCACAATCCCTCCACCGCTGGAACAACAACAAGAAAAACCTTGTTTTGTTTCTTATTTAATGAAAAACAATGTGATTCCAAAATCCAATATAACCAAATTAACAACAATTCTGTAAAATACTATAAAAGAACATCTCTAAATTTCACAAATCCAGAGTTGATAAATCACAGACATCTTCAACTGTGACAAAGATTATAGATGATGATCCAACAAGAGCCTGGGGTCTCCAACACAACCTTGATGGTCTTTCTTTTCACTCCACAACTCATCTTACTGGCATGCAAAGTTAGCATTTCAATTGCACTAGATATTTTTTAAAAAAAACAGCCAGTTCTCCCTCCAGTCCGATACAAAACCAGTAAAAAACATATGCCATTAAAGTAAACCTCATCACAATATCTTACGTGACAAGGTGAAAATTCTTGTGCATGATTCCAAAAGCAAGTGGAGCTACCCAATTTTGCAACACGGCCAGGTTTATTTGAGAAATTAAGTATAAAAAAATCTGATCCCTAATAAATCACTCCATCTTACAGCCTCAAACAAATAACAATCCAATAATACTGCAACATATCCTCCTTTGTCAGAGAAATTGTTTTTCCTCCATTGAGCAAGCTCAAGTGCTCAGCGATCCCAGAGAAAATTTTATAAATAAAACAAACAAAATAAAGAAGAGCTCACGTTTCGTAATTGCCTAACTTGGCTACGGAGGCCAGTGATCTCGTCTTCCAAATCCCCATGGATCGGGTCAATCCGCAACTGTATTTCATCGGAGCTCGCCACCGGTCTCGTGCTAAGTCCCTCTCTACAAACATTTGGAATACCAAAATTAACTATGATAAATGAATCGATTAAAGCGATCTTAAACCCTAAATTTGTCGACCAAGCAATGGAAACAATACCTTGATCTGTAACCGTAAAAAGAATCACCTCCTCCGCTCGACCTAGACGCCATTCAAGACAAATTTTTTTTATTGAAGCAAATTTGACTGGTGAAACCGAATTAAGAAGATGGAGATTTGCGCGAATTTTTAAATTGGAAGAATTGGTGGCGTTTTTCAAACGAGAAATCCTCCGTCGGTTTTTGAGGGATCAAAAATTGCAATTTCTTGTGTTTTCTGGATTTCTTAAGGGGATCCGGTAAGGGAAGGGGCATGCGTGGCGGATACTTAATTCGGTAGTATTTAATTTAACATTCGTCAAATTTTAAAATAATATTGGTTGGATGTCCGTAGCGTTTCTGGTAGTATTTTTTTTAAAAAAAAACGCGGAAGTACCTATTTGTTGAGTAAATTATCAATTAGTTTCTCTATATTTTTATATAAAAATTAATTAATTTTTCTTGTTTTAAAAGTTAATTATTTAATTTTTTTATACACATTTAATTTAATATTATTTTATTTTTTAAAAATTATTTTTTATTGATAATTTCATAATTTTTTACTTACTTTTTTATTTTTAAAAAATCAAAACAAATAAAAAAAATAAATGACATGAAAAATAGAAAATATTGAAATTAAATAATTAGTTTGTGAAAAGAAAAAGCTAATTAATTTATTTCTCAAAATTAAAAGAACTAATTTATAATTTATTTCCTATTTGTTTGTCTATTTTTCATTTTCCATCAATTTTCTTATATAATTCTTTTATGGTCAAAATTTAAGCCTTTTATTTTCACATGTAATTCTTTTATGGACAAATTTAAAGTCGTTTATCCATATCAATCTTGATACATTCAAAATAATTATCGATGCCTTCCGCGGTAGAATTGGATTATAACCACGAGAGCTCGATGATAACCAAGCTAAACCTTCAAAAATAACAAGGAAGATTTTTTATGGTAGCATTGTTATTTATGGATTGTTGAAATATAAAGAGCATATCAACTTTATTTCCATTATAATTATAATTATAATTTATACACATCAATAAAAATTAAATCTTCCATCCTAGGGATGTATCCTCAATTGAAAAAGTTTATAATACTTATTTTTCTTCTTGTAAAAAAAATATTATGTATGTTTTGGGCATCTGTAGGTGACATAGAAGTTTTCTTACTCTTTTTTATTAAATATTTATGTTTTCTTTAATTAGTTTCTATTTGAGATGTAAAAGCCATTTTATTTTTCTTATCAATGATATCGATTTATCTTTGGAGAAAAATAAATATAAAAGAAGAACTTCAAAAATAAAAGAGTCAACTATAATTTTATTTTACCAGTCCATTGAAACTAATTAATTAGAATTGTAAATACCAAACATAATTAAATGACAAATATTGATCGTTTTCGAGTTTAGCAAAAAAAATTTATCAACAAATGCCTTGTTTCCTAATCAAATAATCTCATCTTACCAACTTATTAAAAAAAAAAAAAACTTAATTTTTTAAAAATCAGTGGAAGAACTGAGTTATGAATGAATTAAGAACTTGAGGGTTGAAGATGTAGTATTCAAGCCGCGATAACTAATTAGCTAATTCCACCGAACTATAATACTTGAGTTGTGTCAACTAGACAAAACCGAAGTATATAACAATTAAAGTCTTTTACTTTTCTCAGGCATAGAAATTGTGAAAATCATATTGAATTCTAACGTTTAACTATGTGTGATAACAAAAAATGAAATAACGAGAAAAAAAATAAAAATTTTATTCACACGTTATAAGTGTTTGATTGAAAAAAATAAAAATAAAAAATAAATATAATTTTATTTTTTAAAAAAAAGTGAGAGTGAAAATAAAAAATAAAAATAAGTTTTTTTCTTTAAAATAATAATATATTATTTTTATTTATTTTATATTAACTATTTTTACTATTATCCCCACCTACATCACTAACACTATTGGAATAGCCATTAGCAAGGATGATAAAAAAAAATTAAAAAAGAATTATTATTATTCCATTATTATTCCTCTTCTACTACTATCTTTATTTTTATTATACTAGCACCATTATAATTTTTTTTTTACTATCACTTTTTATGATAATAATATTAAAATTTTTTGAATATATTATTATTACTATCACCGTCACTTCTTTTTCCTCTTCCTCTATTATCACTGTTATTATTGCAATTATTTCTATTATTTTTACTATTATTATAGTTTATGTAATTATTATGTCTAATTATTATTGCCATTGGTCTTAAAAAACTAAGTATTGAAAAAATTAAATTCTATTCAGATTTTTTTATTTTTTCAAAAAAACAGTATTTGAATAAAAATATTATTTTGATTTTTTAATTTTTATTTTATTTCTTGCATTTTTATGTCAAATCTTTTATTTTCGTTAACCAAACTGGATCGTGATATGCCAGGATGATTATGGTTTTCAAAATGGAAAAAGTGAAAACCTCGAGGGTGGTGCGGATGCTTGAAAAGAAACTCGAACTTTGCAACAAATTTACATTCGATCCATCTATAATGAAAATTAAGAACTATTGTCTTCCTGATCGACATAATCAGATAAAGCATAGGATTAGTCAGCTAATAATTCTAAAAACAATTATAATAGTGATCAGCGGATTATTATAAGTACTGTGTGGTCATGAAACCATTCACCATGGCTATTTAATAGCCTATGTTGGTTTGGATCGGTCAGCAAGGATTTGATTTTGCAGGGCAAATGAAGTAAATGATTAATTACCGAAACCGAATCTAACGGTTAAATTTTTTTAGTTGAAAAATGGTCATGCTTCTGTTACGATTAATAGCTAGATAATTGTTTTAGTTATGGTCATGGTCATGGCTATGGTTTTTATGATTACTGAGCCATAATCAAATAAAAAAACAATATTATTTTTACACATATTTTTGTACAAGTATTCAAATATTATAATTATGTCGTTGGATATAGATAATTAGTCATCCATTTCATGTTTTTAAAAATACTTATTTTAAATTGTTTAGCATGTTATTGAGGCATGTCTTGTGATTTTTTTTTATATAATAATTATTATAAAATGGATATTCTATGTGGTTTAATATATTTTTACATGCAAAATCCATTTTATTATTGTTATTATTATAGTTTTTTACTATTAATGTTTATGTTAGTGTATGATTAATTGAATTATTCACTCATTTGGGTTTTTTTTTGCTTTCAAACGACGGATGATTAATGATTAACCAAAATGGATAACTAATAGTTATAGTTACGGTGATGTAAAATTCATAACCGATGGTTATAGTTATAGTTATTGTTGTTGGTTTTTATTTTTGTTGTGGTTATAATTACACCTAAAAATATAACCATGGTTGACAATTATCATTTCTAGTGCATAATCATAACCGACGAAATTAAAGAATAAAACATTATAGGTTATTGTATGCTTTATGTACAGGCCTTCATGGTCCTTCTGGATTCTTTTTTCACTTGTCGTGTTATGCTTTTGGATAGCAAATCACTCCCAACAAGTAAAATAATTCAGAAAATGTATTGTCTTTTTTCATCCTTTGTTTTGACATTATACTTAATCTATAGGTACAATTAAATTTATATTTGGTATAAAGTGAAAATTTTGAAGCAAAAACGTTAAAAGAGTAAAAGTTGGTAGTCAAGTGTTAAGGATGTAAAAAAAAAATATAAAACGATACAGTGTTAGAGATGTTGGATAGGAGTTGTGAAAGTATGAATGATAATGGACCCCAATGAAAATAAAATTAAATATCTATTAAACATAATTGTAAGAAAAAATAAAAAAAATAAATATTTATGGTGAAAAATGGAAGTGGGTGAAAAAAAGAAATAAAATAACGTTGAACTAAAAAAAAAAGGGAAATAACACAAAATCCCAAAATTTCTATGCATACAAATCAACAATAAATAAATAAAAAATCACTTGACTACAATTTTTTTTTAAAGGAAATTAACCTGCTCATATTGTTCCATGATTTTTTTTTACAAACCAATTAACTTTTAAATCTTTATTCTTTAAATGGGGTATTTTTAAACTTAATTCTTAAACAAAAGGCACTCTTTTGCCACATCAGATTTTTTTTTTTTATCTATATCATTTTTTCCTAATTACTGAAAAATAATTTCATTATGTTAAATAACTTATTTATTTTATGCTTTTCATTAATTAAAAAAACGTTATGACCTCTCTGCTTGAAAAAAAAAAAAAAAAACTTTTATTCTTTTTAGCTTTAGGCTGCCGCTGGCCCTAAGGCTTGTAAGGGGATCAGAGTGAAGGAAAGAAATGGAAACTTGGAGCAGGCATTCAGTCATATGAACTTCAGCTTGTGTACAGCGGGATCAGATTCACTCCTAAGGAATCTCTCGCAAGCTCCAGATTATACTCTGCAATAAAGTTAGGGACTTGTGAAAAAAGTTTTGAAGTATATTTCTCAGTGATTAAGAGTTTGATTAATCAGCAGACATCTTTTCAACCTCTAGTGAATTTCAGTTATAAAAACTCTTTTTGTACATTCACCTGGTAGTCTGCAATGCCTTTATCATTGAATATAACTCTACTTGCTTTAGCTGAATGTTGGGTAATTTTTTTTTGTATCTTTTGATTCTTTTATTGTGTGTTTTGAATGAAATAATTATTGAATAATAATAATAATAATAATAAAGACTCCTTAACCCCAAACATGTTTACTAAACAGAAGTTCATTGAAGAATTTGATCCAACCCCTCGTGTGCATGATAATAAATATTCCATTCAAGATCATGTTTATAATACTGTAATTAAAATACGACACGTATGCATGATAGTTAACAAATAAAAAATAAATTATAATCTAGAAAGTTTTTAATGTGTTTAAGAGTGTTATTCAAATTTTCATAAAACAGTTAAGGAAAAAAAACAATTAAAAATCTGTATTTTTTTAATTATCTGTGAAATAATATTTTAGTTTTAATTAAAGTTTTATTAATATATTAAAAAATATATATATAAAAATTACTGAGTTGGAGCTTATATGACATATAGTTTCCTAAATTGAAAAATAAATTTAAAACATTCATATTTTAGTAATGTAGATTTAAAACAACTCTACTTAAAATAAATAAATAAATAAAAACTCTTGTTCGACCGTAGGAACTATGGCCAGTTTTTTGAAAAATTCAAGATATCAATAGTTTGGCTTGGGTCAAAAGAGTCTGTTCCTTTCTTTCTCGACCTTTTTCTTTTGGCGGTTTTTTTTTATTTTTGGTTTTTTATTGCTTACATTGTCAGGTCAATCTGGACGGGCTGTCGCACAGAGTTCCAATCCAGTGGATGTAAGGTGTATATTTCCATCTTTGCCTATAGATCATAACCTTCGAGTCATGTCTTACGCGCATACTCCAGGCTCCGCCTACGATTAGTTTGACCTTTGAGAATTCCCCCACCCTACAACCTGCTCCACTTTCACTATCGCACAATTTACACGTGGTGGTTGAAAGATTCCATTAATTCACGTCCATCAACACCTTTTTAGCAAACGCAGAAATAACACGCCATGCCATGCCTTTTCTTATAAATCTAGCCCTCCAAAGCCCAAGGAACCACACCCTCTCTCCAATTGACATACAAAAAAACAGACACCTGACAGAAAGAGAGGAAACAACCAAATTTTGTAATATGGGAAGTGAAGCTGAGATTCTTAAAAAGCCCAGGTTTTTATGTCTTCATGGATTTAGAACAAGCGGAGAAATTCTCAAGAAACAAGTGCATAAGTGGCCTGAATCAGTGCTTCAAAAGCTAGATCTTGTTTACCTAGATGGCCCTTTTCCTGCCCAAGGAAAATCTGACGTGGAAGGAATCTTTGACCCTCCTTATTATGAGTGGTTCCAATTCAACAAGGTCCAAATTCCTATGCTCATTCATGTTTCTCGATGGTTTGATTTTGATGATGGGTTTGTTTTGGTATATATTTGTTTTAAATTTGACGAGAAATGTTTGGTGAGTTTTCTTTCAGGAATTCAATGAATACATTAATTTTGATGAGTGCCTTGCTTATATCGAGGATTTTATGATTAAGAATGGACCCTTCGATGGTCTCCTTGGTTTTTCACAGGTGCGTGGAAACGGGAAAGGATCATCTTTGTTTCTTTCTATGTGATTTTTCAGTTTGGTGTTGGGAGAAAATGCAGGAAATAACAAAATAAAAGCAAAGTTTGACTGTAATGATTATCATTGATTTTAGATTTTGAACATTATACTCATGGTTAATTTAAGGTATTTATGTTTTTTTTTTTTTTTTAATTTTTTTGGTAATACATTTATTCATGGGATGTACATGAATGATACAGGGCGCAATTTTGTCGGCTGGGCTTCCTGGAATGCAAGCGACGGTAAGTTGAAGTTGCTCAATTTTCTGTGAATTCTAATTTATCTATATTTCTTACAAACGAGAGGCTTGAAACCCGACATCTATGCAACCTCTAATTTATTAATAGAAGATAATATACTAGATGATTTATTGGGCTTTATGCTTTTTATTTACTTATTTTATTTTATTTTTTCAGGGTATGGCTCTAACCAAAGTACCCAAAATAAAGTTTCTGATAATAATCGGAGGAGCTATGTTCAAGTCACCATCTCTGGCAGAGAAGGCATATGGCTCTCCAGTTGAATGTGCTTCCCTCCACTTTTTAGGTATCTTATCTCCATTTTATTGTTTCTTTCTATAAAGAGTTCCATATCCTTTTCAATTACTCCTTTAGCAGCAAGCATTGATATGTTATAAATTAAAATGAGGCATTTTTTGTTCTTTCTTTGTAATTGAAGCAGTTAAGAATCATTGTCAAAGCATTAAAAAAAGAAAGCTGTATAGCGATTTGCAAGTTGTTACCCGTATGGTGTTAAAAACTGATGGGGACACTAACTATTAAATTTTTCTCTGTTGCGAGTTCTTATGCACAAGAACCTTGTCTTTTTCATTATTATCTTGCAAATCTTTAAATCTCAAGTTCGGCATTTGATTACCCTTAGTTCAAATAAATTGTTTTGTCGACATACCTGCCAATTGTTCCAAGAGCTGTTTGTCAAATTCCAACGGTATCAGTACCACTTCTTTGATTCCAATAACACAACCTAGGTACTTGGCAAGGTGCTGCAAGAATATTAGCTGTATTAAGAATTTGTAGCCAAATATATTTTTATCAGGACAACTCTTTTGTATTTTTTGACGAATTACTGCCATGGGAAGAGGATCCGTTGGAGCCGTACATTCAATAGCAATAGATTTATGCCACATTCATTCAAACGTATTCTTGTTAAGTTTTTCCTTTCTTGTGATAATACATATTTGTAAGGTTTGAGAGGTTTAGTGGAAGATAATTAAATTCAGAAAGAAAATGATACTAATCCATTCTGCTGGTTTGTTGCAGGGGAGACGGACTTCTTGAAGCCATATGGAATGGAACTCTTGAAATCATGCGTAGACCCTGTTGTGATTCATCATCCAAAAGGTCATACGATACCAAGACTTGGTAAGTACTTAAATGTCAATTACCCTCCTTTCTGTTTTGGTCTAATGGGAGGCTCAGTGCATCTTGCGCTATATAATAAGCGATAGCTCTCCATCAATCCTAAGCGCATCCTTCGTAGGATTTGAATCTAAGATCTTCAAGTGTAAATCACAACTCTTAACTGCCTCGAGGGACCCAAGTCCTCCTTTGTGTCTCTTGTATCTCTGCGTGTTGCATATTGCATTTCGATTATTGTTATTTACTAACAGAATTGTTTCCCTCTTTCTTTCAGATGAAAAGGGTCTGCAGACCATGGCGAGCTTCGTTGACAGGATTCAAAACATGTTACTCGAGAATTAGATAGTGGCAGTGCTTAGATTATGATGCTCAAGTAACGTTTCCATCGATCCACTTTAAGTGGATCTTTAGTGTATGATGGCCTTGATTTTTAGCCAGAGCTAGAAAGGATAATATTACAGTGCCAACATGTTTTCTTATTTCCCCAGCAATTTATGAAAAAATTTCCCATATATGATCTCGTTTTTGTTCCTATCTGCCACACCAACCCCTTTTTCTGTGTATGCCTTCGAAATTCTATTTTGTGCATCCAAGCCATTATTTTCCAGGCCACGATGCACTGTTTGAACCGGTAACTTGATAAATAAAGTGGCTTCACCAGAATCCATTTAGTTTTTGTTTTGCAAAGCTAGCCCGAGCAAAGCTCACCATTCAATTTTACACAGCTCATGTTCGTTCTGCAGAATTCACCAATACAAAGCTACTAAGAAATTGTAGCGGCCAAACCTTCCTTGTCTTATTAAACGAGGGAGAAAGAGAAACTTTCTTTTTTCGTTATGGGATTATTTTAACCAAAATGAAGAGCCCAATAATGCTTCTCTTGATAAGAGTTGCCAACGTATCTGAACGTCACATTACATATTCCACGGTTCTCTCCTGATCACTCGTTGTGATGTTGAAATTAGGTGATGAGCCGCGTGCTTTACCAGAATAGAGTTCTTTTATTGGGCAACCGATAAGAGAAGGGAGTAAGTAACATCCAAAAAAGAGAAGGAAACAACCTAGCAATTGCAAAAGTGTATATCAAAAGAGTATATATTATTACCAGCATCCTTACCGTCCTTCTATTAGTTGGGTTATCGAAAAAAAATACTGATGAACAGTTGAACGCAGGCTTATTTTGATTCTACACATGTATTAAAAGATATGTATGGAAATAGTTTTTTCTAGAATATATGTCATGTAATTGCTCATAATAATATACGTACGAAAAATAGTTTTTTCTAGAATGTGTGCAATGTAATTGCTTTCTAGAGCTTTAAACTCTCCCTTCAATAAAAAAATAATTGCTTAGTTGTGTACGTAATAGATTCTTAATAAAACAAGATTCAAAACCCTGCTTTGTCGTGGATATTTCAATAAAAGAAGAGAAAAACATAGATATCACATTTATTCTTGCAATAATATAAGACAGATAGAAGCCATTAGCAACAGAATTTTTGGAATATCAAATAAATTGTTATCTTTCTAATTTTTGGAATATTTAATAAATTGTTATATATATGTATATATATATATTTGGATCATGCCAAATAAATCCTATAATACATTAGAAATCTGTGGATGATGTATTTCTGTTATGCTTATGTAGGAATTGCATCCCCCAACCGGAAAGATACAATTGATAGAGGCTCCAGGTATCTGTTATGCGAGTTCAAACTTAGCCCAGCTCCCAGTGGCCACCACCTAAATGATTAAAAAGAAAAGAAAAGAAAAGAAAAGAAGGAAAAAAAGGGGGAAAAATCCACCCCGAGCATCGGTCTGCGTATCTATTTTAGTGTTGGGCATGACCGTTGGGCCATGATATGCTGACTATCGACTTGATCCATAATCCAATCTTGGCAAGCCGACAAACCCCAATGTAATCAAAATCAAAACAAAAAAGAGAGTTCCCATTACACGAGGGAACTCTAGAAGAATCATGTGGGCAGTGGGCAGTGACGATGATGATGCTGATACGCAAGAGCAGTAGAGCAATGACATGCTTATTTCTAACTCAATTACTTCCCCTCACTATCTCTCACCATAACCGCACCTTTTCTTCCATTATCAAACCCTCTCGGTCTTTCTCTGAAACTCCCGCAGTAAGTTACCGCACTCTCTCTCTCTCACATTAAAAAAAAAAAAAAAAAATCTGACACATCTCTACATAACTAACAAACTAACACAGCCATTGTTATTATTTATTAGGATTTTCTCCCTTCAATTCCCCGTCCTGCAGTCTGTTCAGCTACTACAATTTGTTCATTTAGTTCAAGATTCAGCGAACCCAACACCACTGGAAGAATGCAAAATCCAGAGTCCATATCATACCTGACTCAGCGAGAAGCTGCCGAAGTTGATGAGATTCTCATGGGTCCGCTCGGCTTCAGCGTCGATCAGTTGATGGTCACTCTCAATCTTTATCTCAATTTTATAATATACTTAACAAACTCTCAATTTTAATTTTGGTGCTTGCTTCTTCTTTTTTGTTTTTTAGGAATTGGCAGGATTAAGTGTTGCTGCTTCAATAGCGGAGGTAATGCTAATGTTTTATTCTTTTAAATCAAGTTTAAAATTGTTGTTGACCTTTATTACTGTGAATCAAAGGTGTATAAACCTAGCGAATACAGTCGTGTTCTTGCAATCTGCGGTCCAGGGAATAATGGTGGTGATGGTTTAGTGGCTGCTCGTCACTTGCATCATTTTGGATACAAACCATTTGTTTGTTATCCAAAACGGACTCAGAAATCTCTCTATAATGGTCTTGTTACTCAGGTAATGCATCAAAAGGGTTTCAAATTGAACTGTATTTAGATCATAGTGGTTCAATGGAGTTTGTTGTTTATGATGGTATTTTTTTGTAGTTGGAATCACTGTCAATCCCTTTCCTTTCAGTGGAGGATTTGCCTGCAGATTTGTCAGAGGATTTTGACATTCTTGTAGATGCAATGTTTGGGTTCTCGTTCCATGGTAATTTCTCGTCTCAGCATAAACTTTGTGATGATTTTTTCTATAACTGTGAATGCACGTACTTGTCACAACTAGTTGAGATCGTCCTTGTCCATTCCTTATGTGAAGGATGTGAAGATTGGATGCAAATGCTCGAGATGTGAAATGCTGTAGCAATATTGATAATATAGTTCTTTTGAACTTGCTAGAGTTTGGTTTAATTTACCTTTGATGTTCTTTTCACTCGAGCATGTTAGAGTGACACTGCTAATGCAGGGGCGGGAACTAGAATATTTATGTTGAGGGCCGCCATAAAAAAATGTCAAGGACTAACATGAACATTATAAAGATAAAAAAGGATAAAAAAGGAAAATGTGCTAGTTTAGGGTGCGCCGCCAAATGCATGCCTCATATGAAGCATCACTAAGGGTCAAATTAGCACATTCTAAAATTCAGTGGTGCCATGGCTCCCTAATGCAATATGTAGTTTTGTCCCCATGCAAAGTCAAGTCATCAGAGTTTAGCAACCTTAGTTGTTATCATTTTCTTGGTAATTTGCCTGGCTAACTTATTTATCTTCCATATATTGAAATTTTTAACTACTGGCTTGAATTTAATCATGTTTATTAGCTGACTTGCAACATTCAAATAATTTTCAGGTTCCCCAAGACCACCTTTCGATGATCTAATCCAGAAGTTGGTGCAATTGCGTAATTTTGCTCAAAATAGCCAAAAATCCCCTGCAATTGTCTCTGTGGATATTCCATCTGGATGGCATGTTGAAGAGGGTGATGTTAGTGGTGAAGGAATGAAGCCTGATATGCTGGTATGTTTTTGTGGAGACATTTGTATTACACTATTACTGCTTCTGTATTTTGAAAGATTGCAGATAATTTTTGAAAAATCAATCAAATGTAATTATATGCAAACTATCTTATTGATACAACTTAAGCATTATCTAGGTTTCTTTGACTGCTCCAAAATTGTGTGCAAAGAAATTTACTGGTCCGCACCACTTTCTGGGGGGTAGATTTGTACCACCATCTATTGTGGACAAATTTAAGCTGCTGCTTCCACCTTATCCAGGCACTTCCATGTGTGTCCGGATTGGAAAGCCTCCACCGATTGATATATCAGCCCTGAGACAAAACTATATTTCTCCAGAATTGCTTGAGGAGCTGGTGGAGGCTGATCCCATTGATCAGGTATGAACATTATTGCTGTTCTTTTACTTAAGTATTCTTTCCTTTGATGCTTGAGTTGACAACAGAACTGTTAACACATAGCTGGAGAGTTTTTCCCTCTCCAATCTTTGTCATTGGTGTCGTTGTGACAATTATTGGAAAATCCTTCTGCTGTATTGTAAGTATGCCATTTGCTATCTTGCAGTTCTGTAAATGGTTTGATGATGCATTGGCTGCTGGGTTGAGGGAACCAAATGCTATGGCCTTGTCAACTGCTGGAAAGGATGGAAAACCGTATGTTGCTCTTCATTTGCTTTTCATTGTTGATAGTTTGTTAAATTAAGTTCCCATGTTGACATGCGTGCTACTTTTGAGTGTACCAAATGGATTCAATGATTGATTCTTTGTTTAATGGTTGATGCAATCTGATTTACGACGACTTGTTTTCACTTCTACAATCTAAATTCAGAATACTCTTGTTTTACCAATTTTTTAAGAACTTAAATCATGACTCAGTAAACCATAAAGAATTTTAGACCGTGCAATACTTTCTTAATTGGATTCTCCAATCTGAATTTGAAGAGGAAGAGTATGGAACCCATAACGATACTTATCTACCCGTCTTTGTTCTTTATGGAAACTTTGAAGCTTGTGCAATATGTCTGATGGGAGTTCCAAGTAATGAATTAATTGCCATGTGACATGGATGACTTTGGAAATAAGTTCACAAATTTGATGTAGGCAGCAACACATGGATCTCTTTTCGGGGCTCTTTTATGTGGCTTACAGGCAATTGAAAGGTACAAAACTACGCGCGTGTAGTTCTTTGTAAAAAGGAAATATGTGAATTGAAACTAAACAAGGAAATCCAGTTCTTAGGGCTCGTGCAGGTGCTGCTGTGGTACTTTTAGCAAGTCATGGCCTCCTTTTGCTTTCTATTTAAAAAAAATATATATATAAAAAATTGATTATAAGATGGATTTCGATAGTAAAAAGTAGATTTCTTGGGCTTGTATGTTGTGAAAAAGACGGTTCACTTAAATTTCTTGGTGCAATCAAAATAATTGATACTATAACCAACACTTTCAGATTTCCTCAGGCATCATACCCAGTGTCTACTTTACATCACTCTTTGTGCTAGAATTGGTCACATATTCTCATATAGATGACTTAACAACTTGAAATGTGTGTAAACTAGCTTCCTTCCAAATTGATACCATCATGAGACTTATTAGGTATCTTAATTCTACAAATTCTCGACTTCTAAACTTTAACTAGAACTGTCCAGAATAAGACATACAAAGAACATATATATGAGGCTCTGAAATTATCAATCAAATTGGATTTTCAGCTGTTGCACTTGATTTTACAATCCTAGCAGAAGTTTTAGATGAGTGTTATTCTCTCCGTTTCTTGAAGAGTGTCATTTATGTTTGGTATTTTTGAAAGTTTTATCTCTATTATCAAAAAGTCAAAAGCATCTTTTACTCTTCTATACTGCTTCTCTTTTAAAATTAACTCAGTTCTTTCATAAATTGAAAATGAAAGGATTTTCTGTTCAAACCTTGTTCTACTTTTCCTGTTTAAAAAAATGCATAGTTGGCTATTTTGTGTAATTGTCATTTTTTCATTCATATTAATGATTATGTTATGAAACATCCGTACTTTGAATATTTTCAACATTATCAGACTATATTATGACTTTTTATTCATGTATGGAATTAGTTTACCTAACGGTGACCACTTGTCATGTTACTTTTTGCAACAGCTCATCAAGAATTGTGTTGTTGAAAGGAGTCGACAAGGATGGGTTTGTTTGGTAAGTATTGTTCTTCTATTGCTGTGGCAATTATGAGATTAGAAACAGTTTCATGACTGCTCATGGTTGTTAATCTTGCTGGAAATTTTCCACTTCTCAGGTACACCAATTATGAAAGTCGAAAGGCATATGAATTATCTGAAAATCCTCGTGCATCCCTACTCTTCTACTGGGATGGTCTTAATCGACAGGTATTTCATGCTTTTGGCATTGACATGAACTTGAAATCTTCTCGCCCTCTTTCTCTCCATCTTCGGGGAAGCTGGGTCTTGAGGATTCATCCAACAGAATGATGGTAGGAGGAATTTTCTTTATACCACACTCATTGCTGTATGCTGTATGTGAGCTTAGATTATATACTGATCCATTAGAAAACTGTTAGTCTGTGATGGCCATTTGACATTCACCTGTGTGGTCCATCAGACATGGGAAAATGGACAAAAAGTGTAACTTCTTATGGATTACTGAAACCGAAAAAGACCCTGGTTTTCGGTTTCTTGCGCTTTCCTGTGATGATTATTGTTGGGTTGTTGTTTACTTAGTTGCCTACTGGTAGATCTGTGTCATATGCTCTCTGCACCTTTTTCTGACACATCCGTTTATGGAAAATGTGGAAAAAATATGACCAGTGGAGTTTCACGTATTTTCTATTGGTCCATGGGACTGTTTTTCTTTTCTAGTTAAAGTTTTCTCAGATGATCAAGTCTCAAATAACATGTAGACTTAACCTCAAAGTCCAATGTTGAATCTGCTGCTACACTTGTGGTAAATGTTTAGCAGCTGCAAAATATTTTGCTTACACTCAATTTGATTTATTTTTCTCAAAGATACTGATTTTGTATCTAAAGCTGTAGGTTTGTCGTCATTGTAATATACAGGACATAACTGGTTAGCCTGGAGAACAATGCTGCATTGTTAGTTGTGGGAAATAGGTAGGAGAAGAAAAGAAGCATTTTGCCATTATCAAGAGAATGATGTTAGCATTACATCGATGATGCATGTTGCCTAAATATGACCATCATATGATTGATGAATTATGTTAACCATTATCCATATATTGCATGATATTTAGGCTATCGTTCCACTCTACTTTAGGCCTGGTTTTAAAGCCCGTTATCGGTTATATAATCATGAAGTATGCTAAGACTTATTTAGAAGATGTTTTCTGTTTTCATGTTAATCCAGCAATTAGTCTGTTGCCTAAAAGCATAGTAATTGTAATTTTTAGGTACGAGTGGAAGGATCTGTGCAGAAAGTTCCTGATGAGGAATCAGAACAGTACTTCCATAGCCGTCCTAGAGGAAGTCAAATTGGAGCAATAGTTAGCAAGCAGGTTCCTTTTATTCTTATCAAATTCTATCCATTACATTAAAAGATTGTTGTAAATTTTGTTTTCCATCTTCTTTCTCTTTTCAGAGTACTATAATCCCTGGAAGGCATGTTCTACGCCAAACATTCAAAGAATTAGAGGAAAAATATTCTGATGAGTAAGTTGCACTTCTCTTTGTTTAACTTGGATGGTGGCTTCAAATTTCTACCTTTTACAATTCTGTAATATAACTCAGTTTATTATGACAAACAAGACAGTCCAAATACCAATATTTTTGTTACCATTGTCTGATGAAAATGATTTCTCTGGAGTTTAAGAGCAGTGGTTTACATTTTCTCCTTTAAGTTGTAATATTGTTTAGGAGGAAGTATCGATAAAATCCGATGTTTTTCCCCTGTTGTCTAAGTGCAGAAGTTTGATTCCGAAACCTAAACACTGGGGAGGATACAGGCTTAAACCACAACTTTTCGAGTTTTGGCAAGGACAACAGTCTCGTTTACATGACAGGTTAGTTTCAGCTCATTTCTTGTGCTGCATATTTATACATGCAATGCAAACAGTGAATGAAGCAGGTTTGGATCAGGTTTATTAGCAATCCCCCGTAACATATTTTGTTGTCTCTTATGTTCGCTGAATGCTTGATTGAATCACAATGCTATAAAAATATGAGGAATGTGATTTCATGCAGGAAAGTAACGTATGTTGCGTACTATGATAAATATGAAATATTGAGATATTTGATTTGACAAGAAAGAATTTATAATTATAGAAGACGCGGGGATGGGATTTACACCCAAAAGAGATTTTGGATATCAAATGATACATTGATAGTTGGCTGCACAGCTAATGTATGCACAACCTTTTCCAGGTTGCAATATATTCCTCAAGAAATCAATGAGAAGCTAGTTTGGAAGATTGTCCGGTTGGCTCCCTGACTAGCATTTTCAGCTTCCTCGTTGTGAAGCTTGTCAATCATGATTTCTTGGTATCCTGTTATCTGTAGCTTGTATTTAGTTATTTTGGTACAACTAACAAGATATAGTACAATGATATCTTGTTTCTTGGCTGTTTAATTGATTATGTGGCCAGCATTCCAAAAGTCTTGTTATTACTCTGGAGCATAAATTGTAAATCAGTGAGGAACCTTAAACTTTGAATCTAGATCTCTGATCTCAGATCTATTGGTGAAACAATTGAAGTGAAAGGCATGGGTTGCGGTTGAGTTTAAAATTTTGCAGTTGAATTGAAAGGCAAGCTAGGAACACGAACCACCAAAAAGAGATTCGATACACTCCAAAGTTAGGGGCAGCAGAGGTAGGCTGTTGCTGTTATTTATTGTTACAAGTATCACTTGTAATATGTTTCTTACGATGGCAAAGACCCGACTCGGAACTATTCTTGAATGCAGTAAAGAGTTTATTTGCTTAATTCTTCTGTGATTTGTGGACCTTAATTGGTTGTGGATAAACTTTGACCAAAACTTATCCCATTTAGTCCCTCAACTAGTCTGTACCCTGTTCCGATCTCTTCTTTACACTACCACTGGGATTTCAACCTGATCGTATAACTACCTATCTATTGCATCAAGTAGAAGAGTCATGCATGGTCTTTTGTTTTGCGCAAGGATCGCAGCTTGTCTACTTTTGCATGAGCGAAGTTTACAAAATCTTATATATTTCCTGATCGTCAAGGTTATAGTTCCCATGGCTATCCATTTAGCAAGGCCACACAACGTGGACTTGGCTGCAGTTTTGTACATCATAGAAGGCCTTAATTGCTCCGAAGGACAGAGGGAGTTTGTGACGGTAAGTCACTTTAACTAGTGGGATCTTGAAAGCTTTCTTTCCTATCATGGTTGGACTTGGACCCCTAAACATACAATGTTGATAACTATCCATTGAAACCATCCACTGGTGTGAATGAGTCCAAAATGGTTGTTCATCCATGGTATCGGAATTCTATATACCTTTGCTTTGCCATAAAAGGGGGGAAGAAAAACTAGCATCTTTTTTTAGCAAAAATGAAGTTGCTGGCATGTCCCAGAGTTTGGAGGGTTTCATTATGTATTTTTTTTCGCTGATGTAATAATAATAATAATGATTATTGATCCTGACCAAAACTGGGCTCCACTGTGAAAGAAAAAAATATCTGGAGTTATCTTTTCAAGGTTCTTTTGACCAAACTGAAGCTGAATTCTGACGCACTACATTCCGAAAGGCCAATTTGATTGCAAGGTGACCACACCACACAGACCACTTTCTTTTCAAAGGGGTCAGACTGAGAAGTGTGAGGTGAGTGGAATATCATAGATATTAGGGGTTAGAATGGAATTCAAAGGCACTGTTCCTTCTGTTGTCGTTACATATCACCACTCCTAAGATCCAAGAACGAACGGTTGGGGAATTTTTAGAGTTGTAAAGAAGAAATGATTAGAAGATTCCCCTCTCTTTCTTTCAAAACCATTACATCTGTAAGGCCTATGATCCATTAATGAGCTTGGAGCCTGTGTTAAATACCACCTCAAGTGGGTAATGCTATTTGATCGTTCACATACATGATGAATTGTAAACACTTAAAAGAGATCATTAAGGAATCGTTTTGCGGACCATTGACTCCAAAGAGGAACACCAACTTCTGAAAGCCCATCAGCAACCACTAATGGAGGTTGACCCAAAGTTAAATAAGTGGCCACGTCCAGCTCAACAAGTTGAGATACCCTGAAGAATGTTCTAATAGAAAGTCGTTCGCTCGCTAAGAAAGTATTTGCTTTATGCTTTATAATTTCCACCCACAAGGATCATTTTTAACCGTCCTAAAAGAGAGAACAAAAAGGCCACGCAAAAAAAAATCATAATCGCTCACTCCTCCTCAATTCCCACATGTGAAATTTGGAAGATTCTAGGAATAATTTAGCAAAAATTGTGGGATTCCTTGAAAGCGAATTCTTGATTCATGTTCCTTTCTACAAAAAGTATGGAAAATACTTCCACTAAACTTTGCAAGAGAGGATTATTTTTTGGAGGGTAAGGAACTAAGTATCATATAGAGGACGATGCGCTCCATTGCTTGAATAATTATTGAGAACAGGTACAAGTTATAGAGTTGCTCTAGAGATTGAACGTTCCAATGTCTTTTTGAACGGACAAACTGCCGGATTCAAAGTGGATTTCTATGTATCTTCAAGAAAGCATAATGGAGTCCCCTGTCAAATGGAGAGGAAGCTGAGGACCCCCACATCTCTAGAGTATGTAATGGGCACTTAAAACTCCTTAATCCTAACTTAAGTTTTGAAAGAGAAATTGCTGGAGAGTTACATGGTATATAGTTTGCCTCTCAATTCTATATGTATAATTAATCATTTTGAATGAGCTTAAGTCAGCTTATTCATCTGCGTGGTGATTATGTTAAATTTGACTTGATTAATATTTTGAGGTTGTTGCTAGATGGGGAGGGACCATGCATGCGGAGGAGCCAAGATTCTGCAATCTTGGGACCACGACACGCGTACGCTGGAGCGATCTAGTATTTGGGTTTTCAAACAATATTTTTTTTACATTTATAGACCTAAAAATAATAAAATAGTTAGTGAACAACTCTTCGTAGCTTGGATGGGCCAAAATTTTTGGGGAGATTCTTTTTTCTATGCTGTCACTGCTGTCGTCACGCAATTGGTTGTTCCCAAAGTACTGTACTTGATGTAAACTAATGGGTTCCGAGTCTCCAATATTAATAACATTGGGCTAATTTCCTCCGTATGTTCTCTATATTCTTAAAAGTTACAACCTTTAAATTCTTGAGGAGACCTAGTTACCGTACCGCTGTATAGGTCCTTTCCGCGAGGGGGGGGGGGGGTTTCGCTTCTTTTTTTTTTTTTCTTTTTTAGGGTTTTTTTTAGTTAATAAAAATGCATTTAATAAAATTCTAAAAACTATTTTGAAAGTAAAAAATTAATAGTTATAAAACGAAGCTTTTAAAGTTTTAAATTTTATTTAAAATAAAAAAATTAATAATACGTATTATTTATGTTTTTAATAATTATAACTATCACAACTACATCTACAACTATTAAAAAAATTGAAAGCTAAAAATCACAGTTTTTCCAAATGAAATACAAATCTTACAAATGGATCATGCATTGTGAAATTCTCTTTTTTTTAATCATCAAGGAAGATAACTTACCTCAACTTTGGGTTCCTTTGTTGAATAAAAGTATGTACAAGTACAAATAGATCATTGGTTTTGATAATTGATTATTTTATTTTAGAGTAAGTACCTGTTTGTCTCCAAAGATAGGGACTTTTTTGGTTTTTCGGTCATAAAGCCAGTCAAAACAAAAATTGCTTGTGGGATATGCTATATATCATTTATTGTTTCATTAAAATAAAAGTTCATTTCTTGTTTTTATGAGTATTTTGTAATTTTTTTTCTGCTATATACTCTCAATAATGAATCATGAAGATGGAATCTAACTGAAAATTACCGGATTCTTCTTTACTCTGTGAATTTGATTAAATTAGCACATCTACAATGAATTTGACTAAATTAACCTTTATATTTCCAATTTTGGACTATATATATAGCCGTCTATCTAACATTTCTTTTAAACATATCAAAATCCATCAGGTGATTAATTTGACGATTTTGATCATGTTATGCCTCCATCATAGAGAGAGGGAGAGAGGAAAGAAAGATTCGGTTGGTATGCGTAACTAGCATTTTGAAAATAGAAGGGACCGGTGACATGTCGGGCTCAAGCCGTCCTCATTTCGATTGATGGCTAGATGGCGCACCAACACGCCATAGGCATTAACTGATGAACAAAACCATTGGCTAGCAGTAAAGTTTAGTCATTATAGAATCATGTTCAGCAGAAATCAATTTGTGTGGATAGTAGTGAAAAGGGGCGTCACGTCACTGAGAAAAAAACGCACATCCTTTTGGATGTTAAAATCAAGAAGATACCATGTAAGTATAACATAAGGTACGAGAAGAAATCAACCTTCTTATGATGCGAGCTTATCATTTTATTTTTATTGTTCAACAGCAGATTCGAAGGACTTCGGATTATGCAATATACGGTAGTAATGCATAACAATTGTGAAAATACTGTTTTTATTTATTTATTAATCTCTTAAAAATGGATCAAAATAAATACGGATTTAAGTGGGTTTATGCAAGCCATCCGAATATTCTAATAAAATAGTTATACTCTGAGAAGTTGGAGGGATATTTAAGTAAACTATACATGGTTCTCTCCTAATTTTAATTACCTTTCACGTTGTCACATTTTGAGGAGCAATTATTTGGCCCATCAATTGTTTATCATCCAACTTATACTTTCCTTTGTTGTTGCACTCGCTGCCCTTCTTTGACATTGTTAGTGAAGTTGATGGTGATCCATTTGGGGTTTGTGCATGCGGAAGAGAAAGAAAACAGCATATATATTCTTTGTTTGTCAAACAAACAGGAACATTTTGCTTTCAATATCAACAGTACTCAACAGCTCTTACCTTGAGGCTTTGACGTTTCACATGTTAATTGTATCTTAATCTTAATGCATGTATTTGACCTTAATAATTACGACATATAGTAATTTAAGAGAAGATTTAATTGACATTTTGACGCTAATAGAGATAGACAATATTGTCAATGCAGAATAATTATTAGAGAGTCAAATCCGAGGATGCCGTAGTTAGATGGTGAAACTCACAAGTTCAAATCCAAGCCAATTATGTCAACGGAATTAGGTTCGTGCCAAAATGTGCTTTTGTTCTCATGTGATTGATAGTTCGGTATATATGCCCTCAATAACAATATTCAAAAAGATTAGTTAGTTATTTATCCTTTTCATTTTGATCCATATTGTGTGATCATTTGAGAGATTAAAATTTTTTAGGTTACAGCGATATTGTTTTCATCTTTTGTGGGAAAAAAATCTATATCAGAGGCCTACAGGTTAATATTTGTCATTTTACGCAAAGCTACACTATGTTTTTTCCTTAAGAGTTCCAAATTAATTTATATCAAATCCATTTACTAGTCATCCACAATAACATGTCGATACAATCCTTTTTTTCTTCCAAAAATAGGAGCCAAATCTCACCATGAACCGATCCAATTATATATATATATATATATATAGGAACAATTTGGCTGTCCATCTGATTGAATAAAAGTACTTAAATCTAATTACTCTGATAGCTAGCCATCAGCATCGTAGTCGATGCTGAAAGCTTCCTATGACCATGCATGCATATACAAGCATCGATTAATTGAGTGGTAGGTTGCTCAATTGTTTGGAAGCATGTAATACTTGTTGGGATCTTGAGTTGGAGTTCCATCTTTCCTCTCTATTGGATCCAAAAATAGCAATAAAGAACGACTATATACGAAATGAAGCATTCTATAGTATTTTTTTGGATCCTATAATAAACTACGTGTCAATGCAGTAGTGTAGCTTCGCTTTATCAGCACCGAGCAATCTGCATGCTAAAAATATAGTAAATGAACAGCAGACTTGCAAATAATAAAAACAAGTATGACATCGAGGTTCACTTGGAAAAGCAAGATCAATCCTGGAAATGGTGCTTGGGAAAAGGGTGCATTAATGCATGTAAGGAAATATATAGTTAATGAAAACTAAAGGAGAGATGAATGAAATTTTAATCAAGTGGAGCAGCACAAAGAAGAGAAGAGAGCATATACTTTAGTGGTTGACCTCGTGCTTAGCTCAGCCATGAATGTGCTTAACAGACAAAAGTTAAGAAAAACCAAGACTCTTTTTTGGCTTCACCGACTTTTTCCAAACCCATACACCACCCACTGTCACTGGATCACTTATCACCTGCCAATATTATTTAGTAGTAGTAGTAGACTAGTATAGAATAGTACTAGTTAGTTTCGTTGCTACTTTGTACGTTAGCTTCTCTTCTTCTTCTCTCTCTTCCTGACTGACTCTCCATTATTTCCTAACAACAATGATATTATAATTAAATGCATGATTACAGTTGGTTATTGTTTTTTAATGTTTAAAGTTTATTAATGTATCCCTCCTCCCATACCGTACACGTGGCCCACGATATTGATTGATCTGGTGGTGGGGCAAATCTTCAGATGGGCATCCACCAATCAGGGGCAATGAAAGCTTAAACTCTGTCATTGCAACGTATTATAATGATGTATCTGCTTAGCAAACAGTGCAAGGCATGTGCAAAACCCAAATGGGTTGGGTTAATTTGATGTGCTCACTTCAATCATGGCCATTCAATTAAATGAAAGTCTCTCAATCAAATGATAGATAGATAAGATATGTCCAGTAGGTAAGACAGTTCCATCTAGAGGGGACACTCCCACATATCTAAGGCTAAGATTTTGAGTGATGCCAATCCTAGTAGTCCCTGTGTATGGTCATTATCAATTTTTTTCCCCCTTTTTACATGGGGACAAGGAAGCAGTGCTCAAAAAGATAAATGAAAGGCAAAACTGTGAACAAGGATATAAATAAAAAAGCAGAGGCTACCATTATTTGGCTCTGGTCTTCCATGGGACTGTTCAATCCCACCATAAAATCCAAGGAAAAAGCAATATGGATAAGCTAGAGGGCAAGTACCAAAACACTCGACATGCCTTTTTATGTTTTTTGTTGAACCCACAAAAACACGTATATCTTCTTATCCTTGACCGTACCGGTGGTTTAACCAGTTCAAAAGGTTCTCTTTTACGGTTGGCACAGTCACTTGGTAAGAAGCAGCTTCGCAATTTGGACGCCTATATGGCACCAATGATTCATTAGAGATGAGAGGGATGGGCATTCGCTATTAGGGTGGTGGAAGACGAAGAAAAACAAACAAGGGTTCGGTCCACTTGGTATAGATAGACTTGTGAAAGAAAAGCCTAGCTATGCTATGCTATGCTTCCCATTACTTATTCAAATGCACAATCAGATCCCACTTTGACGATAAGCTTTGCTTTTACCATCCTGACAGAGAGAATACCAACAAAGAAGGCAGATAGATTTCTCTCCTAATAATGAGAGTGAGAGAGACCAAGCATTGGTGGACTTGGCTGTTTTATAACGCAAACGCAGGGGTGTGACAAATCATCAGATTATTGGTCCCACCTACAACTATAGAAAGAAGCCATGATATAGGTCACAGCACACCAAACCAGAGAGTTTTGTAGTAGTAGTAGTATTGGGTAATTTTAAACCGCTACTAGAACAGGTAAAAAGCACTACTTTTAACCAAACCAAATCCTCCTCATATCTTACAGACTAATAAGCTCAAGTAACACGAGAATTGAGATATGATCAGATCCATACATATCCTTGAGGATTGGGATTCTCATCCAATGGAACCCCACACGGTGTGCAAGGGGGTCACCAACATGTACTTGCACAACACTTTCCATAGATAATTAACAGGGGCCTCAATGTCAATTCATTATTCCACATTCAGGGAAATAAGTTCAGAAAAAAAGAAGGCAAATGACACGTTCCCACTAAAGGTGTATGGTCCATGCATATGCTGTGCATATTTGGCATTTATTACCCATCTCACATTGACTAACAATAACAATAATAAATTCAACAGTCAGGTGCTACAACAACACAATCTGAAAAAAAAAAAAACAAACATTGAGAAAGAAAGAGAGCGAGAGGAAGAGAGGTATGAGTCAGGGCATTTAGTTCTCACCAGCTACAGCTTAAGACTAGCTACCATTAGAATCAAAATTAAAAGACTAACTTCGTTGAACTGCGAATGCTTGCTCATTGGATTTGCCTTTTCTGATTCTCTTTCACTGGTGACACTTGCAAGGGAAGAAAAGGATCCTTGATTTTTCCAAATCTCCAACCCTCCAACCCATCCAGATTTCTTCGCACAGAAGGATAAATTATTTGTTCCTTGGAATCTTTTATGCACCTCAACGCCCATCCATCCCTTTCCTCTGGCAGTCTTCTCATTTATGATCAAATGAATATGAAAAGAAAAAAAGAAACATAAAATTTAGAAGCATACCAATACAAACAGATCTAATGGTGGTCCAACACCTTGCAGAGATATCCGTCTTCCACATCAGAGCCCCCTCCTTCATATGTCTGTCCTCTCTTTAAATAACCAAAGCAAAACATCAGGCTTCCAGCTTGAATGCCATTTGCAACAGCACAGCACAAGGACTGACGTTTTACTTAACTTTCTATTGCAAGGATCACCATGACCTTCTTGTGGGCTATGTAAAAGGTACCCACCAGATTTAATTTCCAGCAAAAAATGCCCATAGCCACCATCAGAACAGCTGATGCAAGTTCTTGTAGCACAAATGCCCTACAAGATGGAAACAAATTGTGGCACATCCTCTCTTGGCCCTTCAAGAGAGCGATACATGTACAACGTATCAACAACCTCTTCCATGTCCACGTTATCTTCATGCTTAATCACTTCCACCACCAGGCGAGGCAATGCCTGAGCAATCTGTTGGCAGCCCTGGCGCGACAACTTGCAAGTAGACATCCAAAGGAATCTCATGTTGTAATAGTGGTGCAGACCAGAAAGTAGAGCTGCATCCCCAAATGGACTGTCTCTAATCTCAAGCTTCTGCAATCTAGGACAACCCTCTAGCACATACTTCAGCCCCATGTCACTATCTCCAGCAAAAGCAACCGATAGGGTCCTCACGATTTTCCCATATTTTCCAATATAAGCAAAAGCTCTATCAGTCAATAAACCAGATACTGCAAGTCGAGTGAGCTTCTTGCAATTCATGACAATGGCTCCAAATCCTTCATCCATAGGTTCTCCAGTGACATCATCAGGCCGGTGTCGCCCCATTATGCAGAGACGGAAGACCACAAGGTCTGGGCAGTTCTTTGACATAGCTATAACAGCAGCATTGGTCATCCGCTGGCAAAAATACAAGATAGATTGAAGCTTCCTGCAACCCTCTGAAATCGCTTGGAGGCCCACTTCAGAAACAGGGCCCTCGATGTCCTCCCTAGCTTCAATGGGGAAAACCCGAAGCTCACGTAGTTCCTTGCATGTTGCAGCCACAGCCTGAAGTCCTTCATCGCATATCGAATCAAGAACCTGGACAATGAAAACCAAAGACAGTCTCAAAACACACATTTCATTGCAGTGTCTATTAAAAAATGAGGGCCTATAAGACACATACCCAGAAAATCTGAAGCTTGTGGCAATTGCTTATGATTGGTTTGACCTGTTCTGCGCTGATATTTGCATAACTAAAGTTCAGTGAAGTGAGATTGGAACAGATGGGGTATATTGCAGGCAAGTAATCTGGAATGATTTCCCTGAATCCAGATAGGCAAACTAAAGATTTGCAAGCAGCAAACGCAGAGACATAATCCGGTTCCTGTTCAACATGTGCCACGTCCTCCGATGGGCTAAACGAGCCTGTCCCAAGATGTGTGAGCTGCGGAGCTCTAACCATTAGATGGTATAGTTGCCCAATTGAAATGGATCGGTTCAGCCTAAGTTTCTTAAGTGATGGGGACCTAGCCACCAGCCTCTCCAGTGCATCAAAATCAATGGGACAATCAACACAATCAAAAATCAGGGATTCGAGACATGTTTCGGTATCTGGAAAAAACGAAATCCAATCTACTTCATCATCTGATACCTCTGATTCAATCAGATCAAGTACTTTGAGTTGCCTGTACACAAAAATAGAGCGGTGCACAACATATAATGAGTCCAACTTTTCTCATCACAAATTTCAATAACTTCATTCTTTCTTATCCCCACCGCTAAAAAATGCATCTTTTAGACTCATCCAACAAATAGAACATACAAGAAAAATCACCAACAATATCACGGCCAGCAAACGTTCTGTAAGTTTATAGATCAAACAGCTTTATCCATTGCAAAATCTAATCACTAAATTAGTTCTCCAACATCTCAGCATTGCTTAAAAAAAAAGACCACAAAAAGACTAACAAATCCCAACCCAGCAAAAGACCAAAATTTCAATCAGCTTCTAGCTCCACAAAGATCTAAACATTCCTTGCATATACACAAATAAAAAAAAAGTTTCAAACTTTAACAACCAACCCGTAAAGAAACAAACCAACTATCAACAAAATTAACTGACACGGTAATCAGATCTAAAAGAACAAAAGAGAAAAAAACGTACCTGCACCTACTAGCAACAACAGCAAGTCCACTAGTACCAAACCCATCACAACAAACAAGAACGAGCTCTTTGAATCCCGAAAATGACTCCGCAAGCAAAGCCAGATCATCATCCGTCACTGACATCCTCTTCAAATGAACCTTCTCTAACCAAGGGTAAGCCTTTGCCATAGCAGAGACCCAAGGCGCGAAGTGGGCTCCCCAATTAGGCGGCATCAGGTTAAAATCGGCAAACCTTGGCTTCCCTTTTAGCGTCACCGACCGGATTCGTGAAAAGCGCGACGTGGCCCGTTTTGGAGACACCGCGTAGCAGTTACCGATGAACAAATCGGATCGGGTAAGAGCCTCGACCCGGTACCATGACCTGCAAACCAATGACGCAGCGTTTCGGTCCTTACGCGAGGTTAAGAACCAGAGAACGTTTTCTAAAACGTTTTCGAGGACTTGGTCCGGGTATGGAGCCAAGTATTCGGGGATTGAAGATGAACCCGACCCGGAACCGGGAGTGCAGTTCCGGGTTGGGCAAGAATCATTGGTGATTGAATCAGACGGTGGAGATCGGTCATCGTCTTCGGACATTTCAGTTCGATCGTCTCTCATGTAATTAGAGTCAGTGTCTGATGATCTAGGCTTTTTATTGGTGATCATATAACTTTAGAAGGAAAAGGAAAGAACAAGAATGATTTTTTTTTTTTTTTTGAAGGTTTCAATTGGGGAAAGTTTAGAGTGAATTTTCAGATCATGCGAGAGAAGTTGGGGTCTGGGGTTATGGGTTTTCTGAGAGAGGGTTAAAATGAGTGAATTTGATGGAGATTGAAGAGAGAGAGATGGGGGAAGGTGAGGAGGCTAGTAAGGAAGGGATTGATTGGTTTATTTAGTATAATTGGTGACAAGAGGGTGTGAAGAGTAGGCTGCGATGTCTGATAGACTGAGTAGCATTGGGATTCTCCATGCTGCCTCTTCTTACTCTTTCTCTCTCTTTCATCTGCAATATCCAATGGCTTTCCACACTTCTCCTCCATTATTTGGGGTTATTCTTTTCCCCCTTTCTTTTTTTAACAAACGACTTTTTTGTTTTGTCTTTTAATTACTCACCCTTTTCTACTTACTCATTTCTTTGATTTTCTTTTTCCTGTTGTGTTTTGTTGAAATGGAGTGTAGTGCAAAGTTTTTCTCGGTTTTGTGGAATGGCCCCTCGTTTTTTTTTCCCTAGTACACGACTCCTTTAGTTTATTGAAATTGTATTTCTGAGGTGCATTTCGACAGTATTTCTCGCAGATAACCCTAAGTTGAGGTCTAAATATTGACTTTGACTCTTAGACTCTATTTGTTCGACGAAAAACAACTTTAATAGAAAAATTAATTCTCATAAAACTATTTTTTAGAAAGTTATTTTTTAAAAAATATTTTTTGATGTTTGACAATTACATAAAAAAGCTACAGCAAAATATATTTTAGTATTTATTTAATACAAAAAACTAAAATACAAAAACAAACTATAATTATTACATCAACGAGTTTTAAAGAAACTTCAACAGAGTATATTCATAACTTTACAATATAATATGCAATTAAAAAAATTTAATAAATTTTTATAAATACTGATTTTAAAATTTAAATTCAAAAAATAAAAAGTACATTTTTAACAATCAAACTAATTCATCAAAAACACTTGAGACAAAATCAAGTCAATATTCATAGAGAAAAAAATTGTTAAAATATATCAAGAGAGAAGTGAATGACGCAAGAGCGAATCAGCTAGTGAGAGAGAGGAAAAATGTTTTTCTTTTTTTTTTAACTCGAAAAATATTTTTTGAAAAATACTCTATTATTTTTTGATGATAGGAAATTATTTTTCATTAACTTTTTTCCTAAACGTGAAACAAATATCGAAAAATAGAGAAAAAAATAGAGAAAAGAAGTTCCAAAAACTTATTTTTTTCTGAACAAACATAACCTTAAAGTAGTAGTTTACAAATTAATTTGAGGTCTAGATATTTTGGGTGAATGTTAATTCCATCCAAACAACAAATTAGTTTTCAAACCTTTATTTAAATGACTCCTATATAGAAAGACAATATCTATAAATTATAATTTTAAAAAACATGACTGATAGTAAGAAATAAATAAAAAGACAAAAAAAGTCTCATTTATATAAGAGAAAATGTAACAGAAAAATAAAATTAAAAAGTGGTTTTTTAAGTATAAATATTTTAATTTAGAGTTCGAAAAGAAATTTTGTTGAGAAAAATAAATAAATAAAGAGCTGTTCAGATTAATGATTTATTGATTTTAATTTCAAATAAAATTTATATAAGAAAAATGAAAAAATATACTAATTCTCTTTATAATCATCTCTTTTTTGAAATTAATTATATCTTTAACCAGAAATGCAGAGATCATTTGACCTCATTTGAATCTACTTTCGGATGGAATGAATGTAGGATGCTCAAGTGAATATCTATGAAAATGATGAAAGTATTGGTTAATGATAGGCTTGAGGGAAATATAGTAAAGGGATTTTGGAAAATAAATAAATAAATAAAAGTTTGTCTAGTCAGCCGGAGGGAGTATAAAATCACAAAAACGTGACACTTTCTTTTTAAATGGACAGAAATAGAAGGAGCTTTTTGTAAAGATCCATCGTACTTCTAGACGAAGAGCTTCAACTCTACGCATTACCAAAGAAAGTAAACTACACAGCCCAACCAAAAGAAGTGACCAGCTGATAGTTACCCAAGCTTCGGGAGGGACTACTTTGAACAAAGGCTGACACAACCTATGTGGCACGTTCAGATTTATGTCTTTCCCACGTGCAATCTGTTCGCGTGAAAACACGCTCTGGTGTTGTATTTGCTGAGCAGCAGCCTTCCCTCATCTCACCCTTCTTGCTACTAGTAAAACAAAAACAAAAAACATAAACATAGTAATGAATAACAAAAGAGGAGAGAGAGAGAGCGAGAAGGTGCGAACTAAACTCATCCTGTTTCTTTAGGTGTTGCTGAGGTTAGCATCATCTGTCGTTCCTGCAATTGGATCTAATCTTTAGAAATCTCTCCCTCTCTCTCTTCTGTTATGTGAAATTTTACTCCTAACCAACCCTTATCATCTTTTTACTTGTTATGTACATCTCACTCTTGCAATCATTTGCCTGTTAAAGTTTTGACTTTGGGTTTGTTCTTTGTTCTTGCCTATTTTTGGCAAATAAACCACTCTTGGTTTATACTATACAAAACCTTTTTTTTTTTTTTTTTACTTTTTTGTTTGTTGCTCATGGTTGAGGTAATTGATGTTTCCCAGTAGGGGTTTCTAGTATATTCATATATGTAATATGTTTTTAAGTGTTATTATTTAACATGAAATTTTTTAGGGTTAGATTTGAATCAGTAGTGAACATGATTTGGCAACTTTTATACCCTATTCTGTTTGATTTTTCATCAATGCTCAACTTCGAAAAACGAACATTCATATCAAAAGAGAAACAGGCAAAAAAAAAAAAGAAACTGCCCTTATGGATCGATTTGGGCAAATATTCATGGGGTCCGGGTCGGTTGCCATTTTCACTCATGGCCTAACTGTCTTCTTTTTCTCTTTGGGTTAATAATCTGTGAAGTATTTGTACCGCAAGAATTGCTTATATTAAATTAGATGTCAATTAGATCATTATTTAATATAGTCTTTCGTAAGTGATTTAATTAATAGTATTAATTAATCGTATAATCAGATAATATGTATTTTTCAATGATTGACTTCATTGGGTTTTTTTTCTTTTCAATTTTACTACTTAAAGTATTTATAGAAATTATATTAAAAAATAAAAGGAAAACACTGAAAATTTTTAAAATTTTACCCCGTCCTCTTTGGTTTTATTTTTTATTTTTTTTATAATTACTATGAAAGCTTTAAATAATAAAAAAACAAAAAAGGACAGGAACTAACGAGATTAACGATCAAATGACATGCATCGTTAGTCAAATTACAAACAAAAAGTCTATTAAATAAATTGATTTAATACAGAATCCAATTAACATTTAAATTGAAACAAAGACCTAATTAAGCAAATATTTGTTGGAGATGGATGGTACTGATTGTTAACCCTTTTCTCTTCTGGTAACCTCTTGTTATTTTATGATTAATATGCATTCCCTTGGAAATTGGAACAAGAACGAACAATAATTTAGTTCAATAAACATGAGATAGAATCATAAAATTTTTCTTTAATTGGAGATAAAATAAGTTCAAGAAGAGGCAGTTAATGGACAAAAGGAGATAAGTAAGTGGTGTTTCAGGGATTTTCAGTGGATTTGAAGAGTTGAAAAAATTAAGAAGTCTGAACTACCAATTGAACACATGACGTGTGTACTGGACCAGGCTTTAAAAAAGTGCGTTTAGTGGTGCGCACACACCTTAATTTACCAAAATATGATATTTGGAACACTATTCAAAAACAAGTCATTTCAATTATTAAGGGTTCCACATGCTTAATTAGACAGATGATCGGGTTTAAGGCAGGGAATTATCATTTCAACTCGAAGTGGATTTTTTCCAGCAATGATGTTAAGCATTATTTTCATTGACATTGTTTGGATAAGTGATGGTACTAAAAGAGAAAGAAGCCACAAATTTGCCGTATGAAGAATTCAAAGCAAATACTATTGCAATGTTCAGTGGCGTTTGAGAAAACCCATGTGTTTGGCAGCCAAATTAAACTTTCTGTCCTTGCCACGGAGTGGCATGGAATCATAGTTCATATCATGGTGACAAAGAAAGCTTGGATGCTTTCTAAAAACACGGGGTCTTGACTCTTGAGAGCTCCTGTGGCCACGTCCAATTTTGAAGTCCTTTCACAACTTTAGCTTTAGCTCTCCCTAATATCACAAGATATAATTGCATTTTTTTTTATTGGATCGTGTCTGAGAACAATTGCTTTGAAAAATGTAACGTATTTTAGTTTAATTGAGAATTTATGTCGTTATTGAGAAACTACGATAAGAATACTTACGCGACTTTTGAACAATTACGTGGGACCATAAAATTTTCGGATCTCTTTATTTTCCACATGCAAATCATGTTTACGGAACAAGGCAACGTTAGGATCATCTCAAAATCAAAAAGCAAACTCTTTGAGCTTGTTGTAACGATCGATGACCATCAAGCTGAGATCAAGAAAGAACTGACAATCTCCTTTTCTTGACAATTGTCTTTTGCTACAGAAAAGTAAAACCCATTTTTCGATTTCCATAGCTAGAATTCATTCTGAGTTGCAAGAATATCAAAAACTGGTTAGAATTAGAATATAACAACAGTCAATTCATATTTGATCTCGTCATTCTAGTTTCAATATGAAAGGAGGTTGAAATCATTTCACTTCAGGTACATGAAAATGGAAGTGTTAATGATAGCAATACAAGTTATATTAAGCCCTTTTTTCCTTGAATCATGTTTCTTGTTCTGCTCCTGTAGGTTAGCTAATAAATGATCCAGATTGTATATTGATTCAATCACCCTTTGCGTAAGCTCACCCTCATTGAGAATGTAGCTAACGGTGATAGTGCACAATTTTGGTTCAAGTAACTTCATACTCATTGGAAGAAGAACATAAAAGAAATCGAGAGGTTAAAAAAGAAGAAGAAGAAGGAAAGGCAAGA